TTCGTTACTTAAAAAAAAAAGTAGTTTTAACCTCCGAATTAGCCTGCAATTTCGAGGATACGCCAGTTTCCACCGCTCCTTGGCAAATGTAAAACAAAAATTGTAACATCTATATGGGACGTTACCTCATCAGTCTTTGGGTGATGCACAGTTACCAACGTTACACTTTGCAACTGGGTATCTGGCCTCACTAATAGCATTTCATAACTCACTCTTACGTCGTTAAGATATCTTATTTGTTCACAATCGGGCGATTTTGAAACAATACTACAATGCATGCTGTATAGAATGACAGTCAGTCATGTGACCACCTCCTGTCCAGACAACCGAACCTAACGATAGCTCTAAACTTAGACAAGAATTGCAGTCCACTCGGTCAAAGATAACACTGGTCAACACACTTTATCTGGCATAAGGTATTCTAACGCGTTTAAGGTAATTTTGGGGTGCTGATTCCAAATCTGGCATCAGTTTTTGTCTATCACATCAGGTTTTTGAGATATCAAATATTGCATTTTCAATAAAAACTGCAGAAGAAAAATATTAAATAAATGTGGATATCTACATTAAATTATATTATAAACACACTATCCTAAAAATACAGCACCATATTTTAACACGAAAGCAGTCACTGACTCGCAACAACTTGCAATCATAAGTGACAGAGTTAATTTCGGGTAAAATCAATGAAAATTGGGTATGCCGATAGCATAAAAATTAGATGATAGAGCAAATCTGAGATCAGATTTGGAATCAGCACCCTGAAATTAGTCCAAAACAGCTGCAAAAGTCCAGGCGAGAAAAAAAAATTGTTGACCAGTGTAATAGAAAGCGAATATATTGGATACAAACTAAAAAAACGTAAATAAAAAATACGGAAAATAACTCAAATCCGTGGGTTTTTTCGCATTTGTGTCGTCAAAAGTCAGCATGCATTGCACAGGCACTGCCACTGATGATGTGACCTCATCAGCGATGTTTCATGCTAACATTGTATTTTTTTTTAAACACACTGGTTAACTACGATGTTATTTTTGCATCCAACGAATATACAAATTAAGACGCGTTGCCACGGTGTTAAGTGACGTTAAATAGATCAGAAACGTAATCGTTAGTATGTTAATTCGAAACGAATTTCAGGATTTCTATTTCGTGAACCGAAAGGCTGCCAGAAATGTCAGTGTCCGCTAAGTGACGCCAGAAAAGTCGAATATTTTGAATCGAACCTTTTTTTCATATTAAATTAGTTAACCGAAGCAGCATTTTTATACGAAAATATAAACATTGGCTTAAGGACCATTTCTGTATATATGCTGCAGAATTTTCCTGCAGCAAACCCACTCTACTATCCGTGGCTGTTGCCGTGTAAGATATCAGGGCTATACAGCACTGATAATTACTTATTTATTTATTTCTACGTACGTGACTTACCGAAATAACCAAAGAGTATGGATTCCTGCAGTCACGAAACTTTCAAATTAAGATTGTCAATTACTGTTAAGTTTTTCATTTGTGCTCAGGTCCGAGCTAGCATCATAATGCAGATCGATAATAGCAATTGTATTCAAACTGTGTTATCGGCATCATGTACAGAGGTGAAACACATTCCTGCGGAGGGAGCTGGTAGGAACGTTGGGTTGCTCGGTCAATGGCCAGGGTCATCGGCGGCGTGGTGTATTCCGCAAATATGGCCGACTGTGGCACAAGCCGGCGTGAGTAGGTTAAACGTTGAGTTTTATAAGGGCACCACGGGGTGACCAGCCCCTCCCCACCCAGCCCCACCCCTCCCACCCCCCACCCAGCCTCACCCTCCCCACCCAGCCCCTCCCCACCCTCCCCTCCCCACCCAGCCCCTCCCCATCCTCCCCACCCAGCCCCTCCCCACCCTCCCCTCTCCACCCAGCCCCACCCTCCCATTTTTGGATGCACGACGGACGGACGGACACAATAATCCCCTGTGGGCTGGTGTAACCAGGAGGTTCCTACCAGTATAATCTAAAAAATCTCACAGCAGCATGCGCCAAGTATCAGAGAACAGCACAGGGAAGAGAGAGAGAGAGGTACGTCCAAATTGGGTTCTGAGCATAGATGGCTCGGCACTGACCACGAATAGCCCACGTGCAAGGTCCATCGGGATTGGATACGGGTGGAGACAGTACGGCGCCGATCACTAATTGGGGCGCCGTGGTGGCCAGGAGATGTTAACTACCTCGCCTGCTATACAGGACGGTCGTGGGTTCGATCCCGATCCTGATGCCTGCTGTATATTTGGAGTTTGCGGGTCTCTCTCTCATCATCATCACGGTGGCCAGGAGATGTTAACTACCTCGCCTGCTATACAGGACGGTCGTGGGTTCGATCCCGACCCTGATGCCTGCTGTATATTTGGAGTTTGCGGGTCTCTCTCTCATCATCATCACGGTGGCCAGGAGATGTTAACTACCTCGCCTGGAATGCAGGAGGTCGTGGCTTCGATCCCGACCCTAACGCCTGCTGTATAATTTGGAGTTTGCCGTGTCTCTCTCCCCGTCGTCGCGTGGATTTTTCTCCTAGTCCTCTGTTTTTTCCCCTCCATATTTAGAATCAACAACCACGCGTTTAGAGTATTTGGCTGCTATACATTTCACGCGATGAAGGCACTCAGTTGAGCTATCGTTTGTGCCCAGGTCCCTTCTGAAAAAGAGATGTATGGCTCAGTGGGCCTTACCTGATAAAATACAAAAAAAAATTAGTTTTGACTAATTCGAAGGTGGAAATGAAGTGGAATCGATACCTGTACAAATAGACAGCTGTCCAGGATGGCACGCTCAGAATAACAGGCGAAGAACGTAGCCCTAGCCATGACTACAGTCAAAAACAGAAATAATTTTGTCCGAAATATAATTTTAAAGCTGCCTTGTCTATTCGTAGGGGATTTGAATTTTGTCACCTTTAAATGTACTGAATGTGCCCCGGATTGTAAAGTGTCATGAGCGTCGTTATCTGAATTATGTTTAGTGCATTGTGTACGTTTAACTACGTACGTTCTCAAGTTGATAGTCCTCGTCAGATTAGTACTGTACATAAGCTGTGTTCATATTCATTTTATAGCCTTGTTTTGTGCATGTAATGTGGAACTCTGCTGCAAATAAAGTGTTTTTTTTTTGCTTCTACAAATTTCGTTCACGCCAGTTAAGACTACTGAAAGTTACCCAGGTCTGCTTTACAAGGATCTCAGTTGGCAATAACAGGTTAAAGCAGACTGGGGCTTGGAAAAAAAAAAACATAAAATAAGCTATATTACTGTACATTGCTGTCTTAATACAGTATATTATTGCACTAGAATTGCATATTCTTATACACATTGTTTGCAGCAAATCCACTGGGTATGCGGAGTTTGGTTCTTAAGACTTAGTGGGATGTAATGACAGTTAAACCCCTCTCATCCAGACTCTTAATATCTGCAGCCCTTACCTTTGATTTGCACTCTGAATAACAATCGTGCAGCACATTCATCCTGCACGCACATTTACACACACACACACGTGAATACATCACCAGGAATTGGTCTAATCTGTTGAGATATCAGAAGCCGGGCAGGGGTGAGTCTGGATGTTACTTGGATGCAGAGCCGGCCCAGCCACTAAGCGACCCTTGCAATTGCAAAGGGCCCCGTGGCCAGCAGAGGGCCCCCTAGAGTCACTGCTAGCTCGTGGGTGAAAAAAATCATACATCAAAGGGGCCTCCAACCAAATTTTGCTTAGGGCCCCCAAAGGTCTAGGTCCGGTTCTGCTTGGATGGGCAACTGCCTTGCACAGTAGGTTGCTATAGGCTGCTGTGGGGGCTACATGGCGGGCAACAGAACGCAGTGTAGCAAAATCTATTTGGTTGCTCTTCTTCTGGCTACAAGCAGGAATTACTGACGCATCTAATGAGATGGAAGGTTGTATGTGCGGAATACAACTCGAGAAACGGCCGATGGAAAAATAACAAGGATGTTCCCACGGGGGAAAATGGAAGGAAATAGGGAGAGGAATTGAAAATTATATTTTGATCTGACAGTTCTCCATGAGACACGCCGATGGTCGCAAAAGATCAAATGTCTATGCCATGGACATCAGCCCTCGGCTATGGGGATGACGTGAGATTGAAGTCTGTTTTGAAAGCGAAAAATACTTCTTCTTGGTTCTTTCGGTAAAGTCACGTAGAAGGGAAATAACAAAATAATAAAAATAACACATAATAGAATACAATTTTCACGACGTTTCGGCCACAACGCAAGCAGCCATCCTCAGGTGAAGAACAGGGCTGTCGGAAAGACAGCGTCTGAATGAACACCGCCAAGCTTGGCAGCTTGGTGGTGTTCATTCAGACGTTTCTACGTGACTTTACCGAAAGAACCAAGAAGATGAATCCCTGCAGTCACGAAAGCTTTAAATCGAAAAATACTTTTTCCTTCCATTTTGCAGATGAAATTAGGTTTTCCACTGCTGAGGTACAAGACAAATTGGGACACGATGTGGAGAATAATGTGTTTCATTATTGAAAATAAGGGAGAACTACATGTGAAAGGCATCCTCTTGCGTGGTGTAATTATTACACAACTAACAAAAAAGAAATCAGACTTTTAGTGTCTCGGAGCAACTGACGGATTTTTCATCAGGATGGCTACCTCAAAAACACATTCCTGCAAAGGGAGCTGGTAGGAACGTTGGGTTGCTCGGTCAATGGTCAGGGTCAACGGCGGCGTGGTGTATTCCGCAAATATGCCCGACTGTGAGGGCGGGCACACGCCGGCGTGAGTAGGTTAAACGTTGAGTTTTATAAGGGCACCACGGGGTGACCAGCCCCTCCCCACCCAGCCCCACCCCTCCCACCCCACCACCCAGTCCCACCCCCACCCTCCCCACACAGCCCCTCCCCACCCTCCCCTCCCCACCCTCCCCTCTCCACCCAGCCCCACCCCACCCTCCCGTCCCCACCCAGCCCCTCCCCACCCAGCCCCTCCCTCCCCACCGAGCCCCTCCCTGCACGACGGACGGACGGACACAATAATCCCCTGTGGGCTGGTGTAACCAGGAGGTTCCTACCAGTAAGAGGACGATCCTGCGAACTCCAGGGCAGGTGGCAACCATATATGGAGGGGAGTGGGAGATGGATGGAGCCCATGGATTTTGTGGGTCATAAAATGCTGACCCTGGGTCACAGAGTCCATCTCCCAATCGTTGTATAAACATCACGAGGTCTCACGTGGTTTTAACAATTGATCGACTAATCGTCACCATTGGTGGTTGCCAACGTTTTTGGGTACGTTTGAATATATTTCATTTGATCCCATCTCGGCTCAGTCCGAGGGGGAAAAATGGCCCTTGATGAAGAAAATCCGGTTTCTGTGTGTGAATTCATGAGCTCGTGCGGTCCGATTCCACGTCACTTCCACCCGACGCCGCCGTTACGAAGAGGCTCGTGCTGAATCTGAAATGCGTTGAAGGAGCCCAGACACTTGGAGTTGAACTCTCCCTGGATCTCTTTCGGGATGCACACGGAGCACTTGTAGCTCTTCTGCAGGGAAAGCCCAGCCGCCGTCTCCTCCATGCAGATTGTGGCCACGCCTGCAATGCACAATTACGGACACATTTTCGTACCCAATTTTGCCGCGCTCACGTTGAATTTCTTTCGCGCCGTACGGAGACAACCGTGTTCGTCGGAGGTGCGAGGGGAAAAGACGGCACTCTCGCCGGATTTTCAGAAACCGCCGGATAATCGCATCATTACTCTTTGGTTCTTTCGGTAAAGTCACGTCGTTAGAAATAAATTAAAGCGGTCGATTACGACCGCTTGTGTTGCGATCGAAACGTCGTGATTTGCTTTACTTTATTTCTAACTACGTGACTTTGCCGAAAGAACCAATGAGTATGGATTCCTGCGGTCACGAAAGCTTCAAATCAAAATCGCATCATTATTTAAAATAGCTTTTTATGTGCACATTCTTGTGTATACGTTTTAGTGTTTTAAATGTGTTTACTATGTGGAATTGGCGTAAAGAAACATAACAATTGACAAGAACAAATATCCCACCGTTAAAAGTTACTCCATTTACTGTACCGTACTTACCACTCCAATCTCGAAGACTCTGCACGGGATGATGTTCGTACTTACGCTCTTATGTCAACTACTCACTGTGTTTGACGGACGCGGGACTGATGCAGTCTTTAGACCCATGCTCAGGCGAACTTTTCGCCGATATCGCACTGTCTATTTTATGTTATTACTGCAGTTATACTGGTAGGAACCTCCTGGTTATACCAGCCCACAGGGGATTATTGTGTCCGTCCGTCCGTCGTGCATCCAAAAATGGGATCGGTGGGTGGAAAGGGGAGGATGGGGAAGGGCTGGGTGGAGAGGGTGGGGAGGGGCTGGGTGGGGAGGGTGGGGCTGGGTTGGGGGTGGGAGGGGTGGGGCTGGATGGGGAGGGGCTGGTCACCCCGTGGTGCCCTTATAAAACTCAACGTTTAACCTACTCACGCCGGCTTGTGCCCGCCCTCACAGTCGGCCATATTTGCGGAATACACCACGCCGCCGTTGACCCTGGCCATTGACCGAGCAACCCAACGTTCCTACCAGCTCCCTCCGCAGGAATGTGTTATTTGACACTGACATCAAGCATAGCAACTCTTTTTGTCACGCACGTGGTGCTGATCGCCGCCGGACTGGTTACAGCCTTTAAAGCGGTTTTGTCGGATCGGCCCGGGACCGCCACATAATGTTGGAAGCAGCCGGATAATTAAATCGTCATATCCGCATTTCCTTTTGCTTTTGCCTCAGCTCCCCACTCCCAGCCCCGCTCTCTTCCCCTCCCCACCCCCCGACAATTCCCTTTAATCTCTTCTAGCTGCTCTTCATTCGGCAGCTCTCCACTTCCCCTACCCCACACCCCCCTCTCTATCTCTCCTCCCTGGCTCCCCCCCCCTCTCTTACCTATATAGCCTCTTGTTACAGCAGCCCTTTTGCCCACTTTAGCAGTTGTTTCTTGCTGCGGTTGTCCCACCTGATGACGGACGCTTGAGTTGCGCCCGAAACGTCGTGATTTAATTGATCTGATACCTACGCGAGTATAGAGCCGGAGAATTATCGATGATCGACCGTCACTCGCCTGCAACGGTACCCCCCAGGTTCTCCACCAGAGCGATGGCTGCATTCATTGTGCCGCCAGTCTCAATCCATTGGTCCACAATGAGGACGCGGATGCCTGCAGAGACAACAAAGACAACATTCGTCCGTTTAAGTAGCATAGCTTCTTCATACTAAGCGCTTTTAGTTTCACACTAAGTGCAGCCAAGGGGTTTTTTACGATCTTCAAGTTTCATATAAAATAAATTTCTTTTTTCAAAAAGCATTTCCGATTTTAACTTCTTAGCTATCCCTCCCCCATTGTTATCGATGTAAAGCACCTTGGGATTGTATTATAACAGCTGCTATATTGTCTGTAATTATTGCTATTAATTGTTCAGCATCGTAAAAAATGCAAACAATTGTCTATATTGAATTACACAGTACATCGTAAGACATATGTGCCAACCTCCTACACTCGTGAAAATGTCAGAATATCTCACAGTGTGACTGTGGTCAACAATCTCCAACCATGGACCACACGATAACGCCACTACCCCTTAGATCATTCACTCATATTCACCAGACGACTCCTGGCTGGGTCGTTTACCAACTTTGAAACGAATATGTATGCATGTAGAAATGATTTCGCACTGTACGCAGCCAACCGCAATAATCAGAAGTACTGGGGAAGGACAACGAACTAAACACAATAAACAATTCAAAAGAATTTTGATTTAAAGCTTTCGTGACTGCAGGAATTCATATTCTTGGTTCTTTCGGTAAAGTCACATAGAAGGGAAACAATAAAATAATACAAATATAAAACAATAAAAAGTCTCACGACGTTTCGACTACAACACAAGCAATCATCATCAGGTGTGAAAAACACAGGCAAGAATATTTGAAAAACGTGGCGGTTTTTTCTTAACGTCAGCACCATTCCATTCTCTTCCTCTCCGCCCTCCTCTTTTCCGATCATAGATGGACTCGTCCATCTGAACAACTGCCAAATTGCTGTCCGTGGTGCTGACGTTAAGAAAAAAACGCCACTTTTTAAAAAAATTCTTGCTGTGTTTTTCACACCTGATGATGATTGCTTGTGTTGCAGTCGAAACGTAGTGAGAATTTTATTGTTTATATGTTTATTATTTTATTGCTTCTTTTCTACGTGACTTTACCGAAAGAACCAAGAATATAGTTCCAAAGAAATTCGTTTTCAATTTAGATTTAAGGGTGCATAGCACCAGTGGCTTCCTAATATCGGAAGTAAGAGTGTTCCAGACGGCTGCAGAAGCGCATCTGAAAGGGCGCGATGGTTAGCCAAAAGCCGCTACTGCGAGGATGACTGGTATTTCCTTGATGGTTTATGCTCCTTGATATCAGCAAGGTATCGTGGTTCATTTGTGGCAAGCACTTTGTGTGTAATTAGTGCGACCTCGTAATGTGTTCGTTCGGCAACCGGAAGCCAATGCAGCTCGGCGAGCACTGACTCGACCTTCCTCTGTGTTAGTGTAAAAATCCACCCACTCATGAATATTAATTAAGGGGGGGGTGGGTCTCATGTGGAGTGACGTCACGTGCGGGACACACACTCATTCTTGGCTCATATTATGGATAATATTGGTCGCGAAAGCCGACGTGTTAAACTGACCCTTACGTGTGTATGTATGCATGTTACCTCTTTACTATCGCCATAAAATACACTGAAAGATGAGGGCACTTTTTGAAGCCTAGACAAAATTGGGGGGCTGTGTGCACACGCACTTGATTCAGATGCATTAAAACGAGCACTGAGCACCCCACTCTGGCTTCCTCAGTCAGCGTGTAATTTCAAACTCAAATGCCTATCGAATAACAGCTGCTTCTATTCCAGCTAAGGCATACATTTGCCTTACCACAAATATATGGATGTGCAGTCGGAGCTACGATGGTGATTGATCACAGAGCAATATGTTCATGAACAGGCTGTAGGAGCAAGTCCTGTTCGCGGGCACCTATGAAGGCCGGCATGGCACACAAGGAGGTGGGTGGCCAGCAACCACGCCCAACCGCCTTTGTCTTCCTAATGGCGATGTTTACACACCGCAGCAGATACTGTACTAGGGGAGGCCCAAGACTGGTTTAGATATTCGTCATTGGCGTTGAGCGGGAATCGAACCCGGATCGCCAGGTTCGCAGTGCAGCGTGCGAACCACTGCACTACCACTCTTCATGCACACATACAAACACACGTGTGTAGTGACACAGTGCCGACTGCTGTCCAGCAGCGGCAACTGCAGTGAACAGTAGTGCACACGCCGTTGAGCATATACACGGGTGTGCCAGCAGGGCGGAGGAACTGGGGCAAGGGCCACGGAAGACCTCATCTGGAAGCCCCTGGAACCCGCTAGCGGGTTCGAGAAGGGAGGCGCGACCAGGGCGGAGCCAGGCCGCGCCGAGTAGGATAAAAGCAGCGGAGAGCGAGAGCTCCGGGCTGACGGTTCTGGGAGTGCAAAAATCTCGTCGTTACTGTGGTCGTCGCCGCCGCCTTCGCCCGATCATTGCGCGGCTGGACAGTTATTGGCTGTCTCGGTCGATGCCGTTGGTGTAACGCGGTCAGGGTTGTGTCTCTACGACTTGGAAGGAACGAGGGCAAACCTGTGAACCTAAGAGTGTTCATAAAGAAGGTGTCTTCTCAAGAATCTTGTCTCCCGCCCCGTCGACACTACACATGTGTATTTAACCGCACTAGACAGCCAATAACTGTCCAGCCGCACTACACATGTGTAGTATTTAACCGCACTACACATGTGTAGTGCGGTTAAATACGTGGCGCACACTGTTTCAACCGAGGACAAACACGTGCGTGTGTGCAACATTAGGTTGCACGAGCAAACCGCCACCTAATTTGGGAGAGAAGCGAGTGCAGACCAGGTCGGCCTGGGGTCACACACTGACACCGGAGGTGTTACCAGGGAGACGTGCGATAAGGGGTGATTGATGGCCTGACAGGCGCCAGCCTGTCTGACCCTAAAGAGACACAAGGGAGGAGCTGGATAATTGGGAGGGGGCTATAAAGACGTGCGTGAGAGCGGATTGGGAGTTCGTGTTGCTGGGGACCAGGGAGAGAAGACGTCTCGCTGCTGCCGCTCAAGCCAAGAACGGACCTCAACCCTCACGAGTCGCCGGGCAAGTGATGGTTGAGCCCCCCCCCCCGCCCGGGACGGACGAGTGAGTAGGTCCGAGGGAGCGGAGGCGAGGGCAGCGGTGGAAAGGGGGTGCTGTGTGAGAAGCTGTGTGCAAGTCTCTGTGTGCAAGCCTCTGTGCGAGCGCCGCTGTGTGCAAGCCTCTGTGTGAGAGCTAATGGGTGCAAGCCTCTGTGTGAGCGTCGGTGTATGCAAGCCTCTGTGTGAGAGCTAATGGGTGCAAGCCTCTGTGTGAGCGTCGGTGTGTGCAAGCCTCTGTGTGAGGGCTGCTGTGTGCAGAGCCTTGAGTGCAGAGCTGCTGAGAGCGAGAGCTGCTGTGTGCAGGTTAGCGAGGTGTAACGTAGATAAGGGGAATTCGTTAACAGAAGTGACCGTATAGACAGTGATAGGAGTCCCTACAACTGGTGCAAAATGCTAATAAAGTGTAAGCAGGCGACCTCTTACAACGTGTCAGTCTGAGTGATTTTACAAGACACTACACATGTAAAAATAAACCCACAACAATGGGTGCTCGGTGAGTTATTACACCGCAGGAATGTCGGATATGATAGTGGCTTCATCCGGCAATGGATTGACCATGACTCATGACAATGAACATTAAAAAGGCAACCAGCCACCATATCCAATCGTCAACATTCTTGCTCATGGGTTACGCAAGAGGCGTTTGGGCCAAATGCCTATTTTGAGAATGGATTTTGTTGGCTTGCATCTAACTCCGGAGTGCCTCGAGAAAACTCCACACAATGTAGAGAAGAACTCTCAAAACGCTCCTCAGCCACACAGGCCACTTCATTCGGGATTAGAATTCTTCATCATAAGCACTTTAATACTTTTGAAACTCAAAGTGCCTTGACTCGCATTTCATCTCAGCCATTTCAATGCCTGCGGAGGTCACCCCAAAAGACCTCCCCCCTCCCCGAGTAGCAGCTGTTCCTATATAATCCAAGTGTAGGCAGCACCGACATTGCAAATAATTCTGGCAGTCGGGGGGGCATGCCCTACTCTTTTTTTATGTCATTGGATTTTTTTTTTATACACGGTCAATACACTTACATGTAGTATGTAAACACATTCCTGCGGAGGTAGCTGGTAGGAACGTTGGGTTGCTCGGTCAATGGCCAGGGTCAACGGCGGCGTGGTGTATTCCGCAAATATGGCCGACTGAGGGCGGGTACAAGCCGGCGTGAGTAGGTTAAACGTTGAGTTTTATAAGGGCACCACGGGGTGACCAGCCCCTCCTCACCCAGCCCCACCCCTCCCACCCCCCACTCAGCCCCTCCCCACCCAGCCCATCCCCACCCTCCCCTCTCCACCCAGCCCCACCCCTCCCATTTTTGGATGCACGACGGACGGACACAATCCCCTGTGGGCTGGTGTAACCAGGAGGTTCCTACCAGTACTACCAAACATGCTTTATGCACAGTATAAATGGGTACACTACGGGTCAAGTGTGGGTACTCCCACCTCCTGCAGGACTCCTCTCCAGCATGTAAGAATAGGCCAAATGCCCTCCAAAGAGTCTCTGTCGAGAACTTCCTCCAGTGGAAGCCCTACCACCGGTGGTGGTGTGAGCAAATAATTTCACGGCTGCACCTTTAACCATAATTACACGCATCTCCGTGCTCCTGCGCCCCAATATTGGCATCATTCGGAAGACTTGAAACTGAATACATGCAGGGCTCTAGCCCACAGGCCCTCAGAGATTACGGCTCACTGCTTCTGAAGGACATGACCCCGAGGAAGGATATTTCTAACCGCCATCGACACCTTCTGCATTCCAGAAACATCAACTAAGCGTGTCACATGGCATCTAGGTCACGTTTATTTTTAATTCTGCCGACTCCTAGTTTCTGCTGATGCCCACGTTTAAACACCCCGTCATGACAATAATCCTGATCATTTTACAGATGGATGAAGGTTCCTCCCCCCCACCACGTTATCATCGTTCTTCTTGCAATGTCATAATATATCTAGCTCCTGCATGTGAGCGAAGCTTACGACTCGAGCTACAGTCGTGGCTATCCCGTCCTTCTGGGCCATCGTCCCTCCTAGCGATGTGTTCTGCCTAAGCCCACTTTTCGAAGAAATACATTTGTCTTTCATATAACGCTTGTTTTGTGATCTATGGTGTTCTCTTTTTTTTCTGGCACTCAAAGCAATCCACAATAGAATGCATGTTGGAGATTGCTGTGGTGGGATGTTAACTACCTCGCCTGGTATGCATGAGGTCGTGGGTTCGATCCTGACCCTGACGCATGTACATGAGGAGTTTGCATGTTCGCCCGGTGGTCGCGTGGGTTTTTCTCCGGGTCCTCTGGTTTGTCTCTCCACATTTAGAATCAACATGCGTTTGGAGTATCTGGCTACGATAAATGTCCACGCGATGAGCCACTTCGTTGAGCGATTATTTGTGGCCAGGTTGCTTTTGATAAAAGAGCTACGTAGCTCAGTGGGCCTTACCTGGTAAAATAAATTTAAAAAATAGTTTCGTTAGCAATAGGTTGTCAGTGACTCTGCTGAGACCAACTTGTCACACAAGAGAACCGGGTTTAATCGCAGGCGGCTGCCTGGATGCAAACCCCGGGTCTCAGCGGTGCATGCTCGGCACTGATCTTTGAGTCATCCAGCTTTGACCCGAATTTCTTTTTAAAAATAGAAAGAAAACAGGTGGTGTGGAGCCTGAAACGTGCTCACGCCATTCTCCAGGAGAACGGCCTCTACTCGAGAAAACTCTAGGGGGCCCCTTTTATAGCGTATATTTGACTTACTCTTCCACATCGGTCAGAGATCGTAAGAGATAGGGGCATCCATACGTTTGAGTCACAAGTTGAATGCTCCACAAACATGTTTCAATGACGAATGAGTGTACCTTTGACCATATCACTCGGGATGCACCCAATCTCTTTCACATTTTGCAAGTCAAGCAGAATCGAGCCGTGGCCCTTGGGCGGTGTCCATCACGTCTTAAAGACGGGGGCAATAGGCGTTGTGGACAGTCGACGGTAGTGTAGAGAAATATACCCCCCCCCCATCCTTCATTAACCTATATGAAGTAGTCTGTTCTCCTAGACCGCGGCAGTTGCGTTCCTGAAAAGGAGGGAACCCTGTACGAGAAATATTTAGAACTTAAACAAACTAAGCTATTTTTTATTTTACCAGGTCATGCCCACTAAGCGATATAGCTGTTTTTCAGAAGGGACCTGGTCACAAACGATTGCTCGAAAAAGTGGCTTTTCGCGTGGAACTATATCTAGCAGCCAAATACTCTAAACACGTGTTTCTCAATGTGGAGGGGAAGAACTGGAGGACCTAGAAAAAAAATCCACGTGACCACGGGGAGAACACGCAAACTCCAAATATACAGCAGGCAGCAGACATCGTGCTGCTCGCAGCAGACATCGCGGCTGTCGAGATTTTCACCTGAAGACGATGGCTTGTGTCGCTATCGAAACGTCGTGAGTTATTTTGTTTCATTTCTACCCACGTGACTTTACCGAAAGAACCAAATAATATGGATTCCCACAGTCACGAAAGCTTCAAATCAAGATTGAACAGTTACTTATGTTTAGTTTTTTTTGGTCCTTCCCCCGCACCTCCGATTAGCACAGTTGACCACGTACGGTGCGAAAGAAGTTCAACGCACATACGTGCATTTATGTTGTCGCTTAATCTTTGCAATTCTTTAGCCGACAACCATTCCTCCCACTTCGTCGACACTACCAACCCTACCCATGCCCCGTGTGTGTGTGTGCGTCTCTCTCTCTCTCACCTGGTTTAATAACATCCGTCCTGACCTCCAGCTCCTTGTTTTTTCCCGAGTAGTCGGTGTAATTCTGGCTGATGGTTTTCACGCACAGGTGACCCGCCTTGCGGATTGCCAGGAACCCCTTGTGCAAGCGGTACGCGACAGCCGTTCCTGGGCAATGGAAAACGACCATCTCGTTGATAAGTGGAGATAGTGCGTGCCATCATCCACGAGGAGCGATGCATGCACGGTGTCAATCATGGTGAACACATTGAAAGACGTATGACCGTGCTGTGGACTTGTCTGATCGGTTGTCAGATGTCACTCGTCACCACCTGATTTTGGCCGTGATCTGGAATTAAAACCCAGCTGTGGACCGGGTTAATAGCGCAGTGCGCTCACCACTGCGCCACCGCTCCACGCCCTGATCGATAATGATGGTGTGTAATGATAATAAAAGAGGATAAATGTTAATCACTGTTCAATCGACAACAATGGCGTCGCCGGTTTGATTCAATTTATCAACGTGGCACTTGAAACAATAGGGCAAGTGTTTTAAATCCCCCCCCCCCCACCTCTTGCCTCTGTCCACTCAGCAGTAAACGGGAACTCCACAGTGAGTCGATTGGTTGCGTGTGGTGGGGTAGAGTGTGGGTGCACCAACCGCTCAATGCATTAATGTGTGTGTGTAAAACAATTACCACTTCAACGATTCAACAGATTTGATAAAATGTTCACAAAGTAATGAAATGTCGTGATTTTAACTCACAAATCCATTAAACAATGAATGTTTTTGTGCCGTCCGGTTTCTGTCTTATGTGTATTATCCATACTGTCTACTGTGTAATGGCCTGTTTGTATTGTCTAAACATGTAAATATAATTTGTACAGTCTTACCGCAACCTAATATACTCTGCGTGAACAAAATCATCAAGCGCGACGATGACTGCCACGAACGCAACCACGGACCAAAGTGTAACAAGAAGAAATGAACGATTCTCAATGAAGACACAGATTAAGATTACATTCGGTAATATTATTAGAGACCGCATTTGCACCGAGGAAGCCAAACAATGGCTGTATATAAATGACTGATTTCACCGAGCAGCAGACCTGTAAATGGGGAGGAAATTTGCGTGCTCCTCACTCACACCGAAGCATTTCATGACCAAGATTGGACTGTATGTCAGTGTGCTTTAGTCGACAAAAAAAGGACAAGACAATTCGCAAAGCACGAGATGCAAACTCCACAGGCTGCACTAAGATCACGGCCGAAATAAAACATTCCGCACTGAATTAACACCGCTTAGCACCCACATCACACTCGCCACTGGAGGAGTCAACCAATCTTGATTTGAAGTTTTCGTGACTGCAGGGATTCATACTCTTTGGTTCTTTCGGTAAAGTCACGTAGGTAGAAAAAATAAAATAAAATAAATCACGACGTTTCGGGCGCAACACAAGCGTCCGTCATCAGGTGGGACAACCACAGCAAGAAACAATTGCTGAAGTGGGCAAGAGGGCTGCTGTGACAAGAGGCTATATAGGTAAGAGAGGTGGGGGGAAGAGCCAGGGAGGAGAGACAGAGAGGGGGGTGTGGGGCAGGGCGAGCAGGGAGAGCAAGGCAAAATGCCGGGGGGGGGGGGGGGGGGGGAAGTGAGCGGAGCTTGGAGGCTGTAGAAACTGTAGTCAACCACTCTGCGTGAATTTCCAAAGCTGTGACTCACCCAGGATGAAGCCCATGCCATCGATTCCTGCCACAATGTCGATGGAGTCGTTCAGGAAGGGCCCCACCAGGTCCTCCACGCAGTCTCTCAGAGCCTGTGCAAGATGGGTGAGAGCGTAGAATTGGAGATTTAACACGTAGGCTTTCGCGGCCAGTGTTATTCATAATACAGGCATTTGGGTTAGATGGCGTAAGTATAAATGTGTCGCAACCCACCACCACCCGACACGGCCAATCAGTAAAAAATGTGTCACGTTAACACAACGCCAATTAGTTCCTTCTTCAGCCCACCGGTGTGTTTGAAGAGTGAATCCACAACATTTACAATTTGAGTACGACGTTTCGCTGGTAATTACAGTACACAACATTAAAAAACGAATGTCTTGTACGAAAGATGAATTACCTAAGTTATCAACATAAGGTGTATATCGGATCAGTTGCTTATGCGGTAAATGTTATATTGGACACACGGGACGAAAGATTAGCATAATACTAAAAGAACACCAAAGGAACATGACATTCTCTCAAACACAACTGTCGGCAGTGGCAGAACACGCTTGCCAACAAGGACACTCAATTGATTTTGATAACGTTGAAGTGTTATGCAAAACTAATTATTACTGGCCAAGACAAATTCGAGAATCCATTGAAATTGAGAGAAATACTATTAATTTTAACCGCTCTGATAGCTACAGACGTAACACAGCCTGGAAGCGTATTATTAAGTAATACACAATACATATTACATTTCCTTATAGAGGAATCACATACTAATTAACTGATTACTAATCTATTAAATAATTACAATACCCCTCCCACCTCCGCCTCTGATCTCGAAACCTGATGGGGTTCAACAATGATTACGTCATCCTGCACTATTTAAGACCGGAAGCAGGTGGGTGGCTTCACTATTCTGGCAAATCGCCCCAAGATGCTGGATGTAATTACCAGCGAAACGTCGTACAACTCAAATTGTAAATGTTGTGGATTCACTCTTCAAACACACCGGTGGGTTGAAGAAGTAACTAATTGACGTCTTGTTAACGTGACACATTTTTTACTGATTGGCCGTGTCGGGTGGTGGAGGGTTGCGACACATTTATGTGAACGCGATCGAACCCAAAAGCCTTTATTATGAAGAAAAAATAGATCTTCGGTTGACGACCGGAGGTCAATATCAGTTTCGGCCGAAACCGAAACCAGACCAATAGTAAAAAAAAATTCGATTTAAAGCTTTTGTGACTGCAGGGATTCGTCTTCTTGGTTCTTTCGTTAAAGTCACGTAGAATGGAAATAATAAAATAATAAAAATAAAACATAATAAAATAATTCTCACGACGTTTCGGCCACAACGCAAGCAGCCGTCCTCAGGTGGAGAGCAGGTCTGTCGAGTATACTCTGACTCTGTCTCCTCGACAGACCTGCTCTCCACCTGAGGACGGCTGCTTGCGTTGTGGTCGAAACGTCGTGAGAATTATTTTATTATGTTTTATTTTTATTATTTTATTATTTCCATTCTACGTGACTTGACCGAAAGAACCAAGAAGGTAAAAAAAATACTTTCGGCCAAAACCGAAACTATGCAAGTCCCACAGAGACAATAGGCAGAGAGCCATGGAGGGTGACTTTAATTGCGACATCTGAAACGCAGTTCAATGTTTGCAACTGATGTATGACACCTCGAGATAATGCTTTTAATTGATTGAGAGTAAATCAAGTGCGGTATGGCTGTGAGAGCTTAGAAACAAGCGCTGTTTGTTGTGGCGTGGTGTGTGGCCACTGGCACAGAAGGTTATGTTGTAATACATTCGATGCGTGTCTGTGTGGAGCACTAAGCCGCCGAACCATTTATAGGTTCAACGTGGTGATGGCAAGTGGTGTAAACTAATGTGTTGACACCTAAATATTGTGCTAATACCCTATTCATATTGTTTGTACAAGGCGACTCTATTGACGGCCTTCAGGTCACGAAATTCACACTTGATCTAGTCGTGTTTTGACCAGGTCACATTTAGACTCTGTGGTGCTGTTCCTCTTGCCGTTGGGTTTCCTTTTAAACTGCATCACCGAAGAATCTCCCTTAAACGATGGCGAGAGGAGAATTAAACCACTTAACTCCTTAAACGCGTCTCAGTCCTGATATATTGCATCTCATGATGTTGGTCATACGGTGACCATCCCACGTCACAAGTGACTGATGGAACCATTTTGCAAATTAATCCGAGGGACTCAAAGATGTGAGTCCACCCCAGAATTCGTGTCATGGTAAAGTAGGTGGGGTAAGTAGCTATGCTGTATACCCATCTTACTGCAGACGATGATGGTGATGGTCAGTGATGGACTCGAACAAAAAATCGGCCAAGGCATTTGTAAACACACTGGCCCAAATTCTGGCTGTGGAGTGACTCGACCTGTGATGTGACGTATTAGCGCGATTTTGGCGACCTCATTGGCCCATTTGCGCTGGGTCCAAAAAACAAATGGGCCGGTGAGGAATCTTTGGGGCTGCCGAATATGGGACTTAATGGCACCCGAGAGCGTAAATAAGCAATGAAGCGTACAAATTAACGGTAATAAACTATTGTAAAATTTTTTTTTCAAAATTACTCTGATCACACATTTGCAATTTCCCTACACAAACCGGCCCACCGGCCCTCGGAATGGACCGGCCCTCCCAAGCATTTTCCCGGAGTGTCCTATGGCCAGCAGCCACCCCGAAAGCTCCGACTTCCTAACCTCCTTGTTGCAGTAGAGGCGAGATGGGTCCAGCCAGGCATATTTGGGTCCCTTCTCGTTCGGTGCCATGAGGTCCAGATACCAGCCCCGCCGCTGCTTATTTATCGGGTTCCACACGTCCATCGCTTCTGGGCAAGGCTGAAAATCGTCCATACATTTTAGTAAAATACAAATCAGAAGGGCGCGGTGTAAAATTCGTACACAGTTGAAACTACACCCGTTGCAGGATGTGGTTAGGTTATTTGAGAATACTTCATGCTGGTCAGTGGAGATTTCGACACACGGTTGGAAATATAACTCAGGTCGCAAGGATTCACAGCAAAGCGTGGCCACCACTATCCCAGCGTTCCAACATAAATACAGTAAAACCTTGGATTGCGAGCATAATTCGTTCCGGAAACGTGTTTGTAATCCAAAGCACTCGTATATCAAAGCACTCGTATGTCAGGTGTGATCACATGACGCTCGGCAGACAAAGCGTGTATACACGTACTACTCGTATTGCAAGACCTCGCTCGTTTATCAAATTAATATTTATTTTAAAAAATTGCTCGTCTTGCAAAACACTCGCAGACCAAGTTACTCGCAATCCAAGGTTTTACTGTATGCGCAAATTTTGTAGTGACATCGCTGGAAGTCAACATGTTGCATGCAGGGCCTGCCCTGGAAAGGGACGGCGTGCGGTGTAGTGACATCACGGATACCACAGGGGTGCGGGTGTAGTACCGGCCCTAGAGGGACCCAGTGAGCACTGAATGATCGCGCTTGATGGCACCACGCTTGGCGTGCAGTGCCAGCCCCTACAGGACAGGGTGTGTGAGTGCCGGCCGAGGTTACTCGAGGCCATGGCACTCTAGTTGACCCGGGAGGACACGTGACCAGTTAAGTCTACAAAGGGGCCCCCAGAGGGGGCTGGGGGTGGTCACGTGGTTGGGACCCAGATCCTTCCCGAGGATTCTAGAAGGTGGTCGTGGCCAATGGCGGAGCTGGCCACGCCGCAGAGAATATCAGCCGGGTCCTGAGAGGGACAGGGGTTGTTGTTCATCCTGGAAGAAGCCTTTGTCTACGTTCTCCGTTCAACGAGTCTCCAACACGTGGACCCAGACCCAAGCTGTTGGTCCCAGTCCGTTGTAGCTAGTTACGTTGTAACTAGTGTAGTTCGCCTGGTGGTCACCACCACAGGTTGTTATTCTGTTAAGGGGAAGTTTCCCCGTGTGTTGGACTTGAATAAATGTGTTGCCTCCACGTCTACGTCTGCGACTCAGTTGAACTCACGACATATGCATGTGTGTGCAAAGCGTCTGGGAGCACAGAAGTATGGTACGATAATGGATTTTACTGCATTGCCCTCTGTTGTCCACCACAGAGCCCCTTTGCCCTGTGCCAACCTGTTCCATACAAGGCTGTCACCCGTCCAAGCTCTATCCAGGCTCAATGTTGCTTAGCGTCCAAGAAATATACGGGCCTATGTATGGTTCATAGTGCCCATGTATTCCATTGCAGTCCATCGCAATTGTGCAGAGCTGGATATTTGCCTGCGCATATTCAAGATGTCACTATCAGTGAAAACCACACCGAGAGGTGCGATGGATGTGGACACCACCGCAGCCACTCCCGTTGCTAAAATTAAATTGCTGAACACCACGCAGCAGCACGTGCTGCAACTGATGCGATGACTGAAATTGCAGGCAAGCGACCTTTGTTGCCTCGATGGGGAATTAGGGGTTGCAGAATTGTATAACAGAAACTGCGATGGACCACCTCGTGTCAGTAAAATATCCTGCTCCTGTGACGTCGCAGAGCTGAGTCAACTTCTCCGCTGAATGTAACCCAATAAATAAATCAAAACCCTCCTGCTGTCAATTTTCGAACTGTAACCATCCAGCACCCGACAGAGCCAATCAAATTAAGTTGTCACGTGTGCAAATATGCCAATTTACTTGGTTTCTCGGCATTTGCTTGGCTTTCATCATTGCAGGTTTCAAAGAAACCTATATGCAGTTTTCAAAGAAACCTATATGCAGTTTTCAAAGAAAGCTATATGCAGTTTTCAAAGAAACCTATATGCAGTTTTCCAAGAAACCTATATGAATTTGCATATTTGTCCACGCGGCAACTTGAATTTACTTGGGTGATGGAGGGTTATAGTAAAAAAAAAAGACATTATACTTACACAATATAACCCAAAATAAATTATTGATGTTTTGTACTATTGCGGGTCGTGAAAGTCTATGTACAAGATTATACACATTTTTATTTGAAAATGGCGGACTCAAATAGCCCACGGCATTCATTAATGGGAGTTTTAATCTAATCGTATTTATTGGAATCCTTCCAGAAAATGCTCTGCCTTAGTAAGCTGTTTCCTAAGTGTTATTGAGATGTGTTGTGATTTGTGAAATTAATGTTTCTGCAGTTCGTGCAAAAATCACAATTATCCCTTGTTCAGTGGCTGTTGGCTCGCCGTCTAACGAAGATGGGCACCGCATTGCATGCTTTCAAATGCACTTTTGCAGCCGTCGACAATGCTCTCTACCTTCCAATATTAGGAAGTCACTGGAGCTATGCACACCGTTCAATCTAGATTTAAAACCAATATATTTAGAACTGCTTTTTGTGTTTAGTTCGTTGTCCTTACCCCGCACCTGCGAATAGCACGGTTTTGCTACGTACGGTGCAAAAGAAGTTCCAAATACATCCAAACAAATGATGTCTGCAATCTCGAATTCAAGCTAGTACAGCACATGATTGTGTGATGTGACAAAAATGTATCAATGCTCAGCTGCATTTGTCTCCCCAGTACTTGTGGGTTTTCACACACCCCACCAGCTACTTGTTTTTTTAGGCCGAGTTTACCTACGGGAGGCCTAAGACAAATTCAGATACATATTTACACGTCTATTGCATGTTGTAAAAAATTTGTACCTGGCAGTATACTGGTGATGAAATCGGCCACGGCTATCAGCGACAGAGAGAAAGGCGACTTGGGATATTGATATTTACGAGCACCTATTAAAAGACAGCACTTCAACAACAATAGTCGCGGTGACCTCACCACTGCGCTTATGCCAGGCCAGGTGCACTTTGAGGCCACGTGAAGTGTTGAAGGCTCGCTGCTGACAGGAATTCACGGGACAGACCCAGGTGCCATGGGTTGACCGACCGAGATGACAGATGCACCAGCTATGCCCCCCGCCGTGCCAGATTGCTTCGTTTTAGCCGCCCGGCGCTCCTCTGGTTGTTGTGAGCGTCGCTCCTCTGCCCTCCGCTGTTGTTTAAGGGCGACTGCTTCCAATTGACCAGTAGCGCCCTTCGCAAGCCTCCTCCATAGCAGCTCAGAGAGTGGTATGACCAACACCACATGCTTAGCCGCCTTTGGTGTTTACGCCGTTCTTCGAGCACAAGGGTATCAAGAAGGCGCTACGTTTCAGGCACAGTCCGCACTCGTTTCAGAGTAGGGGGCGATGCTGCTACGTGTCATCCGAATTAAGCGATTTGTGGGTAGTTTTTCGATTTTGTAAAAGTTGGACCATAACGGCCTATTCGTTTTACATTCACAAACCGCACTTATTTAGGGCCGAGTCAACCTAGGGGAGGCCCAGCACCTGTTTAGACAATTGTCACTGGTGGTGGCCGTGAGGGGGGGGGTCAAATCCGGGTCGCCGGGTTCGTAGAGTAGTGTACTAACCACTACACTACTGCAGCCCCCACGAAGTGAACATACACTTGCACACATACACTCACACAGACTGACACACACACACCTGCACAGAAATCTACACACCTGCACACAAAAAACAATGAACCCCCGTATGGCCTTAATAGAGTGTTGGGGCAAGTGCTGTGAAATGTTAACACATACACACACCAGGACAAATAAACGCGCACACGCAGCCAAGCACCTACTTTGGACTGTTGTCGATGTGAGCTCAGATCCTGTGCCGTTTCTCGGCCTCATGATGCCCTCGTGCCCAGATGCACCTTTAAAAAGGAGCGCAGTGCAGTGGGCGGATGTATTCACGACCAATCGCGACCTTTCAGGGCGGACACTCAAAGGCGATCAGTGAGAAATGGATTTCTTCGCAGCGCAGCACAAGCAGAGGATGAGCCGAGCGTATTCGATTGCAAGTTCTAAATACGGCTGTCAATGTGGCAAGCGCCTTAACACAGCTATCCAGAAGTTGTGTTACACACCGCAGACATGGGCTCACCACGTGGCAGCTAGGCTACGGACATAGCTGGCCCTAAATGTGGGCTGAACAGAGCAGATGTGGTATATAGCAACTATCAGATCTTCTTGGTTCTTTCGGTAAAGTCACGTAGAAGGGAAGTAATAAAATAATATTTCTTCCCTTCTACGTGACTTTACCGAAAGAACCAAGAAGATGAATCCCTGCAGTCACGAAAGCTTTAAATCGAAACTATCAGATGTCAATCTGCAAACACAGCAGGCCAGGTGGAGGGCTGTTACATTAAATTGGATGGCAGGATACAGGCACAGCTGACCAGATAGGAGGTTGTTAACACAGCAGGCTGATTGTGAACCCAGCGGGCTGTAGACATTGCATGAAAAGGAAGAGCAGAGGACATGAACACAGCTAACTAGCAAGCGGGCTCTGTTTACAACAGACCAGATGCCCAGGCTGTATACATCTGCAGGAGACCTGGCACATTCTGTTTGATTTGGTCATAGGTGCGTATGTGCGGTCTAGTGAGATTGAATCGTGAAAAAGAATGCACCGTTACTGACTGAAACAACACGACATCAGCTCCGTTGAAAAACGCAACAAACACAGGGAGTTGCACAAACTTCGTGGACTTAACTGAATTGTCGTGGTATTGGTGCACATAGTTTAACTTCAGATTAATACTGGTAGGAACCTCCTGGTTACACCAGCCCACAGGGGATTTTTGTGTCCGTCCGTCCGTCGTGCATGGAGGGGCTGGGTGGGGAGGGGAGGGTGGGGAGGGTCTGGGTGGGGAGGGAGGGGAGGGTGGGGAGGGGCTGGGTGGGGAGGGGCTGGGTGGGGAGGGGCTGGGTGGGGAGGGGCTGGGTGGGGAGGGGCTGGTCACCCCGTGGTGCCCTTATAAAACTGAACGTTTAACCTACTCACGCCGGCTTGTGCCCGCCCTCACAGTCGGCCATATTTGCGGAATACACCACGCCGCCGTTGACCCTGGCCATTGACCGAGCAACCCAACGTTCCTACCAGCTCCCTCCGCAGGAATGTTTTATCCCACCGATGGCAATTTGACAGTATTGTATTGGACGGGTTTGAGCTCTTGGCACTCTTCAACAATGGGGGCAACATTTTTCACAGATGATCAAAAGAGCACGCTGCGACCAAGTCAAACAAACAAACACGAAAACACTGATGGTCTTTCGGTAAAGTAACGTAGGTATAACATAAAACAAATCACGACGTTTCGGGCGCAACACAAGCGTCGCAACAATTGTTGTGGATGTCCCACCTGATGACGGACGCTTGTGTTGCGCCAGAAACGTCGTGATTTATTTCATTTTATACCTACCAAAGAGTATGGATCCCTGCAGTCACGAATACTTCAAATCTATACTGATGACCTATTGACCGTTCCACGTCAGTGTCTCCTGTAACGAAACACAATCGTATCCCTCCCTTCTCAGTAAACGTGCAACGTTGTGTCGACATTAGCAAATTTATATTGATACATTGTATTATTATTATCAGCACCACTATGTTCGGTTCATTTACATTTATAAAACACATTCCTGCGGAGGGAGCTGGTAGGAACGTTGGGTTGCTCGGTCAATGGCCAGGGTCAACGGCGGCGTGGTGTATTCCGCAAATATGCCCGACTGTGAGGGCGGGCAGAAGCCGGCGTGAGTAGGTTAAACGTTGAGTTTTATAAGGGCACCACGGGGTGACCAGCCCCTTCCCACCCAGCCCCACCCCACCCAGCCCCACCCTCCCCACCCAGCCAATCCCCACCCTCCACACCCAGCCCCTCCCCACCCTCCCCTCCCCACCCAGCCCCACCCTCCCCACCCAGCCCCTCCCCACCCTCTCCTCCCCACCCAGCCCCACCCTCCCCACCCAGCCCCTCCCCACCCTCTCCTCCCCACCCAGCCCCACCCTCCCCACCCAGCCCCTCCCCTCCCCACCTAGCCCCTCCCTCCCCACCCAGCCCCTCCCTGCACGACGGACAGACGGACACAATAATCCCCTGTGGGCTGGTATTACTAGGAGGTCCCTACCGGTATTATTCAACTCGAATGGAACCCTTTGACATACATTAGCGAGACATTCCAAAACGTTCCCGAGAGCTTTGAAACGCTCATTTGATTAGTCGTGTAAATCATATTATTTGATTTAATACTGTAATATATTCTAGCTATTATATTTCATAGTTTTCAGTTTCATCCACAAAGATCAATGATCTCTTTACAGCTGGTCATTTTTTATTCAAAGGTTAGGGTGCAGCCCTGCAATTGCCGGCTCGTGCCATTGCTAGCAAAAGAGCCCCCATTAGCAGGAGCTCTAGATAGGCTCTATAGAGGATATTTGGCCCACTTTCCAGACGTATTCCATGGTTCTTTCGGTAAAGTCACGAAGATAGAAAAAAGTTGTAAAAAAACATTTAATTTTAGTTTTAAGTCAAAACTTTCCAGACGTCTTGAATAAGTTACACTTTAGCCGAGTGTAACTACCTTTCTCAAAGATATCCGACCTTCTCACATATTTCCTTAGATGCACAGCACGTCGGATATGCGACATTGTTATTGTACTGCCTTCTGACAAATTGGTTGAAATAGCAACCATTTGAATCGATGCTTATTTAAAACGTCGCATGTGTAATCTATTTACTTTTTCAGCTTGACTCAGGGAGGAGGATGCCCCTGCCATGCATAGTCCCATGGGATGTTGGCTATCAACAACAAGGCAACTCCTATGACTAATAGGGAATGGGACGCAAGTGGAGGATTGATCACCCTGTCGCTGGCCGCCTTTGGGGAGGGTGTATAGTATGAAAGGCCGAAACATCCTCGGACCAAAGGTACACTACTGACGATGCGCTCCCCAAATTTCACCAGGCTCACTGTTCATGAACTCTTGGAAGTGCTTGCACACTGGATAGTAACATCTCATCCTGTGTTCTTGGAATCTAACGTGTGTAGTCAAAGATGAGCACACTCAGCAAGGTCTGGAAACAATAACACTCTTCAAGAATAATAAAACAAGGGAACAACCAAAACACATACTGCTTAAGTTTTGTATTATTTTCATACACTTTTATTTAACTCACTCTGTCTTTTGTCGTATCCTCAAAAAAAGAATTGTAACTTAATTTTTACCCAATTCCCAATGTGGTATCGACTGCAAACTTGGTATACTTATGTCATACTGATGACAAGATTATATTATATCATTAAAACAATCTAAAACATATATTTTAAAACATTCTTTGACACGCTTTTGATAAACTCACTCTGTCTGTTGTCGTATCCTCAAATCTTGTAACTCAAGTTTTACCCAATTCCCAATGTGCTATCGACTGCACACTTGGTATACTTATGTCAAACTGCTGACAATACTATATTGAATCATAATAAAGTTTTTTTTAAAATAATATTTGTTATATGTTATGTTTCGGCTTGGGTCTAATTGTCCACGCTCAACTGACGTTGGCTGTAATTGCCCACGGCTCCTTACGATATAACAAGCTTCGGGGCCACTTCCTGGAGTCGTGGAGTTTTGGCATGACTATTACGGTACATTTCATTAAAGCGTGTTTCTTTTTTTGAAGTATTTTTTTAAATATAACTTATTAGGTTTAAGTTTACTGCAACTCGCACATTGCTTCGCCCTCACTGTCCAATACGGCATGAAGAGAATGCCTCCGCCCCTTATAACCATGACGACAAATGTTAGTTTGTCCACACACGTTAACAACTTCTGCATTAAAGGGGAACACAACCTACCGGTTCATAACACGTTCTCGAAGACTGTGTCCTTGTGATCACATTGTTCTAAATCTGTGAGCGCTTGATCCGTAATTAATCAACGCTGTCGTGGTGTAATGGTCAGCAGACTTGCCTCGCAATTCAGCCCCTCCCCACCCTCCCCTCCCCACCCAGCCCCTCCCCACCCTCCCCACTCCACCCAGCCCCACCCCTCCCATTTTTGGATGCACGACGGACGGACGGACACAATAATCCACTGTGGGCTGGTGTAACCAGGAGGTTCCTAGCAGTATAAATATCGCTGCTCGACAGCTGTTGTTGCAATGGGAGAGTTTATGACATCTCCCAACCTCCTACCCAGCAGCAGTATTAAGGTGCACAGCACAGTTTGTCAACCGGCGTGGAAGAGTAGGCCAAATACCCTCCCGAGAAACTTGTGAGCACCGTCTAGTCGTCCCTATGGCTAGCAGCGGTGTCAGCAGGCATTGTCAGAGGTGTACTTTTACCGTTGTAAACATGAACAAATGATTGTGTTGAGTTTGTTTTCCTTCCCACGCACCTCCGATTCGAGCGGTTTGGCTACGTAAGGGGCCGTCCATAAATGACGTCACGCACCTGGGGGAAGGGGGGGGTCAGACATCTGTAACGATGTGTGACGAGGGGGGGGGGGAGTGAGAAATGTGACGTCACATCAAAATGCGCAACTTTAAATAAATATAGACAACACGTTCTACTTAATTAAATAGACTTTTTAATAAATGTTTCTCCTACAACATCAGAGTGCAGCGCCACATTAAATACGCACTACAATGACAGTAGTTCTAAAGCTAGTTGAAGCATGTTTAATTTTAAAAATGGAAATATGGTTTGGGGGGGGGCAGTGCTTTGTGACGTCATATTCGAGGGGGGGGGTCTGACTTTTTGTGACGCCGGGTGAAGATGGGGGGGGGGGGTCAAAAATCGTCCAAAATCGCGTGACGTCATTTATGGACGCCCCCTAAAACATATTCCCACACTCGTGAATTACGAATCGTCCTCTTGCGTTTGACAATTGATGATTTACAGTTAATGGAAACATTCCGGGAAAGTTATTCGCTACTGTGGATATAGTTACACGTAGGCAAATTGAAATGACCAAACTTGTACAAGCGAGACCAACTAAGCGTGAAAATGTATAAATGATGATTTGAAGTTTGAATTTTTCGTGACTGCATCGATTCATAATACTCTTTGGTGTTTTCGGTAAAGTCAGATAGGTAAAAAATTTAAAATAAATTAAATCACGACGTTTCGGGCGCAAAACAAGGCGTGTACTCACACACTTAAGCGGTTGTGCTTTGACTAAGTTGTCCCCACCTGAAGAAGGACGCTTGTGTTGCGCCCGAAACGTCGTGATTTAATTTATTTTAACTTTTTTACCTATCCTGACTTTACCGGAATAAAACAAAGAGTACGATTTGAAGCTTTCGTCACTGCATGAATCCATACTCTTTGGTTCTTTCGGTAAAGTCACGTAATTATATTTCGATTTAAAGCTTTCGTGACTGCGGGGATTCATCTTCTTGGTTCTTTCGGTAAAGTCACGTATAAGGAAAATAATAAAATTAAACCATGATTATTTTATTATTTTCCTTCACGTAGTTATATTTTATTTCATACCGACGTGACTTTACCGAAAGAACCAATTGCATGTCAAAAAACGAGGCAAGGAATATTTAAATCGAAGACACCGAATTGTAACAATTCATTGAATCGTCCGCAAAGACGGCAACTACTAAACGCAATGGGATATTGCCTGCTCAAATTGAACAAACTCAAAATAAAAACGTCACTTCCCTTCGGCAAATCCGCGCAAGCGGCATTGGTTGGGAACGGCATGCATCAATTACATGACAAAAAGGCAAGGAATGTTTAAATCGAAGACACCGAATTGTAACAATTCATTGAATCGTCCGCAAAGACGGCAACTACTAAACGCAATGGGATATCGCCTGCTCAAAATGAACAAACTCAAAATAAAAACGTCACTTCCCTTCGGCAAATCCGCGCAAGTGGCAGTGGTTGAGAACGGCATGCATCGGTTTGAGCTCACTCGCACACTCACGTCGCCCTGCGAGGTTCACGGTGGCCGTGGCGCGAACTCAATTGTGTTTCGGCTGTCGACTTGACATGGCCAGGAGGTGGCATCGGGCCCTGGGGCAGAGGTCGCAAACGGGTTATGATTCAAACTTGATTTGGAGCTTTCGTGACTGCAGGAATTATTATTTGGTTCTTTCGGTAAAGTCACGTATAAAGATAAATTAATAAATTAAATTAAATACCAGCATACGACGTTTCGATTGCAACACAAGCAATCATCATCAGGTATAAATTTAATAGAAACACAAATCTAGTATACTTAGAAATGTAATGTAATACAACAGAGAGTCGGATAGCATAACAGTCAACACCCTATCTGGTTGATTACGTTCTTCCTGAGAATGCTAAATTTGAGAGAGAGATTCCTTACCCGTTCCCGTACCCGGCCGCACCAGGGCCGCAAATGGGTACCCGTATCCGGCCGGGTACGGCCGTGTACGGTTACCCCTTCCCTACCCGTACCCGTACCCTACCCGAAATGAGTGACAAACGGTTACTCACCAGTGACTCACGGCCTACCCGTACCCGTACCCGGCCGCACCAGGGTCGCAAACGGCTACCCGTACCCGTACCTGGCCGGGTACGGGTAGCTAGGTATCGGGTAGGGTACGGGTATCGGGTACCCGGTTGCGACCTCTGCCCTGAGGCCAGGGCCAGTGTTCGCTGGTACACGTGTTGTGTAGTCGGTGTGTATTCTTATTCTTGGCTCTTACGGTAAAGTCACGTAGAAGGGAAATAACAAAATAATAAAATAAAACATAATAAAATTACAATTCTCACGACGTTTCGGCCACAACGCAAGCAGCCGTCCTCAGGTGAAGAACAGGGCTGTCGGAAAGACAGCGTCATGAATGAGTCTTTCCGACAGCCCGGTTGTTCACCTGAGGACGGCTGCTTGCGTTGTGGCCGAAACGTCGTGAGAATTGTATTTTATTATGTTATATTTTTATTATTTTATTATTTCTCTTCTACGTCACTTTATCGAAAGAACCAAGAAGATGCATCCCTGCAGTCACGAAAGCTTTAAATCGAAATGTAGGTGTGCTTTCTGGGTTCTTTCGGTAAAGTCACGTATAAGGGAAATAATAAAATAATTATAAAATATTAAACAATAAAATTATCACGACTGTTTCGACTGCAACGCAAGCAATCATCATCGGGTATGAAATCCAAACAGTAAGACACGTCGTGAGAATTTTATTGTTTTCTATTTTATAATTATTTTATTGTTTCCCTTCTACGTGACTTTACCGAAAGAACCAAGAATATGAATCCCTGCAGTCACGAAAGCTTACATAAAAATTGAGTAGGTGTGTGTTAAGTCCAGTGGCTTCTCTGTGGGTTGGCAGTGTTCGCTGGTACACGTGTTGCGTAGTAGGTGTGTGTTACTGGTAGGAACCTCCTGGTTACACCAGCCCACAGGGGATTATTGTGTCCGTCCGTCCGTCGTGCAGGGAGGGGCTGGGTGGGGACGGAGGGGCTGGGTGGGGAGGGGAGGGTGGGGAGGGGCTGGGTGGGGAGGGTGGGGCTGGGTTCGGGAGGGGAGGGTGGGGAGGGGCTGGGTGGGGAGGGTGGGGCTCGGTGGGGGTGGGAGGGGTGGGCTGGGTGGGGAGGGGCTGGTCACCCCGTGGTGCCCTTATAAAACTCAACGTTTAACCTACTCACGCCGGCTTGTGCCCGCCCTCACAGTCGGCCATATTTGCGGAATACACCACGCCGCCGTTGACCCTGGCCATTGACCGAGCAACCCAACGTTCCTACCAGCTCCCTCCGCAGGTATGTGTTTAAAGCGTGTTAAAAAATTTTTTTTTTAATATTACTTATTGTTGCTGCTTTTTAGTCGTGGTGTTCGCAGTGCGATGCAGTGACACTGGCCGACGATGCTACCACACCTTTGCCGACGATGCCTGCTGAAATCGACGCCGTGCCCCGACGGTTTAGCATTTACTTATTTATTTACCTTCATTGATTGAAGCACCACCACCACCCTTCTTTCGCCTGTGCCCCTTACCCACACGTTTTTGTCATCCTCTCTCCACTGACTCGCCACTCACAATAGCGGGGGGGCCGAAAGGGAAACAACACAAAAGGTCGCTTGTGTTGAGCACCAGCCAGACCCACCCCATTATCTGAACGGGCGCAGGTATTTTCTGTGACAGATAAAAAGAGTGATCAAATAAATAAATAAACATTTTCCCTTTGGCGGACGGTGGTTTGCGTGGGGGGGGGGGGCAGAAGGGGGCGAAAGGCATTTTCACGGCTGCTTCTCTCGCAGTGCTTGCATATGCGTGGGCTCGAGTTGAATTATTGAACGTTTTGTGAGTTCGATGTTTTTGTTTGCGTTCATTTTTTTCCGCTTCGTAATTTTGATGACAATGTGAGTCACAATGGAAGAAGTGTGCCTGTGCAGATTCTCACAGCGGAGGTAAGGTGGGGGAGAGGTGGTGGGGGGGGGTGGGTGCGTGGCTCAGGGTTGTTGTGTAAGATTTGTTTTTTTTTAGTTTGCTTGCCAACACAGAGCTTTGTCATCAGAGCTCGATTACAGATCAGAGGTTTTTTTAATTAACCTGGTTTAAAACATGTTTTTTTTTATTTTAAAAAAAAGCTTCACTCGTGCTCAAAATGAGATTTGTGTTGCGCTTGTGCGCCTCTTTAGCGGTCCGAAACTCGCGGTGGAAAAAATTCCACATCGTGGGTTTTTTTTTGCGAGACGAGTTTTTATTGAAGTCAATCGCTTGTTGACTTGCGGTACCCATTTTATCGACCACGGAGGAATGAATGATGCGCCGGGTCGGCCCACAATGGGGGGATTGTGAATCGGGAGGTCTAATCACAGTGTCGCCTCCCCTGGATTTAATGAGTTCCTTACAACAACATTGATTGTGACCGTCGTGTTAAAATGCAATATAATGACAGTATTGTTGGTTAATTTATGATGATTATCTGGAGAGCGCTATACAAAAAAAAATTATTGCTGTGGTTTTCACACCTGATGATGATTGCTTGTGTTGCAATCGATACGTCGTGATTTCATCTATTTTATATTTTATACCTACGTGACTTTTACCGAAAGAACCAAAGAGTATATGGATCCCTGGCAGTCACGAAAACTTCAAATCTAGATTGAGCGCTATACAGTCAAATCCTAGCTGGAAGACTAACTCAACCCATCATCTCTCCTCGGGTCGTTGTAACAATTTCCAGCTTTCTGGGGGATAAAAAAAAGACACTTGTCTCTTTTAGAATATGAAACGTTTGTTTCACGCCGTAGGAATGTGGATTTCCCCCCACCACAGTTGTCGGACCGTTAACGGATTTAATCACTTCGACTCTCGTCGTATCGTTAGTTTTAGCGTATTGTTATCATCATTCATATGATATTCTTATCTTCCTGGTTCTTTCGGTAAAGTCACGTAGAAGGGAAGTAATAAAATAATAAAAATAAAACATAATAAAATAATTCTCACGACGTTTCGGCCACAACGCAAGCAGCCGTCCTCATCCCTCACAGCTTAAATAGACACTCCAAGCCTAAGACGTGTCATTTAGACTCTGTCTTATCGACAGACCTGGTCTTCACCTGAGGACGGCTGCTTGCGTTGTGGCCGAAACGTCGTGAGAATTATTTTATTTATGTTTTATTTTTATTATTTTATTACTTCCCTTCTACGCGACTTTACCGAAAGAACCACGAAGATGAATCCCTGCAGTCACGAAAGCTTTACATCGAGATATTCTTATCGTCATAGCCGTCATCGTCTGTGCTCGATTATGACCTCCCCAAGTCGTCGCCAATCTCTCACTGTCCTGAAATGTAACTATTCAACGAGCACGTGCACACGGGCCAATTTCGTGGCTCCATCTCTGCGGTGGATGATCGTTTTCGAGCTCGTTCGCCACCTTTGGCTGCTACTCCAGTCCGTCTGGAACCACCGGCAATCACCTCTCTGTGTGATGTCTCTAACCTGCGTACGTTGCGTTACTGGAACGGTGTTGAGTAACGCCGCCGACCCTGAATAATCACAGCCTCATTGTTACCCCGCACCTCCGATTAGCACCGTTGGCTATATTCTTAGGTTTTTTTCGGTAAAGTCACGTAGGTAAAAAATTTAAATTAATAAAAGTCAAGTAAAAAATAAAAAAATAAAATCATGACGTTTCGGAGGCAACACAAGCTTCCGTCTTCAGGTGGAACAGTCACAGCACGATAGCTGTATCGTGCTGTGACTGTTCCACCTGAAGATGGAAGCTTGTGTTGCCTCCGAAACGTCGTGATTTTTATTTTTTATTTTACTTTTATTAATTTACATTTTTTACCTACGTGACTTTACCGAAAAAACTTAAGAATATGAATCCTTGCAGTCTCAAAAGCTTCAAATCTAGAACCGTTGGCTATGTACGGTGAGAAAAAAGTTTAACATACTAATAGGGTTTTCCCCTTTTTTCTGGCAACAAAACTTACACCTTTTGCAAGGAATCATGTTTACATTATTATGTTTTATTTTTATTATTATTTTTTTCCATTCTACGTGACTTTACCGAAAGAACCAAGAAGATGAATCCCTGCAGTCACGAAAGCTTTACATCGAGATTTGGGCTTTATCACAGTCGCAGATTGGTGGATTTTTTTTATTTTTTTTCCCATTCGTGGAACGCGTGCGCACATCTCCCGTGCTGCGTCCGAACGCAGTTCAGTGTGGTTCAAAGCCGTCGTGAGAGAGAGAACCACGTAACTTCCATGGTCGAGTCCAAGAGGATGTTGACCATAATAACAACCCTGTGTACATTTTGTAGCAACAGTAAAGTAGAAATACGTTGTTATTATTGTTGAGACGTCAAATGTCGCAATTACAATTGCGGAACGCGTATTTCATTGTTGAATGATGCCTGGTGCTCAAGTGCTACCGTTTCAAAACAGGTCATCAGAAGAAAAACAACCTAATAATTCTAGTCTCCAACCTATATCAACTCGAGGAGCTCTCTCACCTCTGTGTTTGTGTGCTATGAAGAAGAGCCATTGTCCGAAAAGTGGCCAAATATACATTACTTTTTTTATTTTAAGGCGGTGTTGTTGACGAGTACATTGATGTAATAATAGGGGGTTTTCCCCTTTTTTCTGGCAACAAAACTGAAACCTTTTTTTTTACGAGGATTCATGTCTGCATTAACCACAATTGCTTGCGGTCAAAATGCAAACAAAAAGCACGCTACTATAATATTTTAGCATTGTCATAGAAACTGATTTGTCCACACCAAGGGACGGCTTTCTTTTGAGCCTCGACCCAATTGCTGCTCGAGAAACAAGGCTCAATCAGTTTCAAGGACAATGCATAAATGATCATTGTGTGTTTTTTGTTTGCATTTTGACCACACGCTTTGTGGTTAATGCAGACATGAATCCTCGTAAAAAAAAGGTTTCAGTTTTGTTGCCAGAAAAAAGGGGAAAACCCCTATCATTATATTTTGGTACTGGCAAAGGAGGTCTAAAGAGTATATTGATTGTTTTTTTGTTGTTATTAATTGTGCTTGTGCACCACTGCCATCGGCAACATCACAAAGCAGACACGTGAAAACTAGTCCCGCTTTTGCCTTGTGTGAACAGCTGATGTGGAGAAACATTAGTCCAGTGGTGCCACTCATCAGCTGTTGAACTTGAATGCTATCTAAATTTGGCAATGACACATAGACCTTGTATTCGGCATGCAGCATAATGATTCACAAATGACTCAATTTGGGATCAAACGTAGCAATCATCGCTCTCCTACTGCAAAACTTGGCAGGACCCTTCTTGAAACACTGGAATCAGTTGAGGCTTTCGTGGGTAGTCAACAAGAATCATAATAATAACTCCCCCCGGCTTCCTCTACGTGAATAATTGCCGACATGATTCTCGGTCACTGAAAAACAAATCTGTTATTGTCTCATTATTTGGTTATTTCGGTTAAGTCACGTCTAAAGATAAAATAATAAATTAAATAATAGCATATTACGACGTTTCGATTGCAACACAAGCAATCATCATCAGGTATAATGAAATAGCGACATAAAATCTAACCAGAAAACTATAGACAGACATATAAGCAGACAGATATCACCAAGATACATCAAAAATGTAGTTTTAGTTTACATGACTGTGCTGCCTTGTCTATCATGTGCATTGTATTGTCTCGACTCTACGTGTCTGTCATGTGACCTACTGGTTGACTGGCTCGTTTCGTTGTGTTTGCCTCTTCTGTACTATTTTCTATATAAATATGTTATATTTACTATATTGAGATGCGGCCATTGAAGTAATGGTTAGTACACTGAAAGAATGGACACCATTTTTTATTTGAAGCTTTCGTGACTGCAGGAATCCATACTCTTCAGCAATTGTTTATTGCTGTGGTTGCCCCACCTGATGACGGACGCTTGTGTTGCGCCCGAAACGTCGTGATTTATTTTGTTTTGTTTCTACCTACGTGACTTACCGAAAGAAGCAAAGAGAATGGGCAACATTCTTAAATGTTACCCGCGTCTGTCAAACACAGTACTGTGTAAATGTATGCACTGCAATCGGTGTGCGAGTTGCATTTGATGGGGTAAAGTGTGGGTACTCCTACCGCTTCCAAGATGCCCGCCGGTGTGGAAAAGTAGATTTTTAAAAACCCTGAGGAGGGGTTTTCCAGAGCTACATGTGTATATGTATATGCATATACTGTATATACACATGCACCACTGATGATATAGCATTGCTGAAACAAAAACAGAAGCCAGCAATGCCATATAATGGCGTGAGAAAGTGTGCCTCTCAATTTCAGTTCCTGAATAAGATCTCATCATGTGGAATGAAACAAGACCGTAGCCATGGAGTCAACATTGGGGGGGACCAAATCTTTCAGGGTGTCTGGGGTCCCCCCCCCCCCAGAAAAATATCTCCATTTGAAAACTAATTTCCTGCCTAAAATATAAAAAAAAATCACTAACACATGGGATGGACTTTTTTTTTTACAATAATGTATAATAGTGTATTGTATTACATTGCTCTGTTTTTTTTCTTTTTTACCATTTATTGTTGTATTGTATGTAATGGCAGAGATTAGGGATTCATAAAGTACAACCACAATCAAATAAACATAAATCTATGCATTGATTTATATGAAGACAAGTCCTGATATTGTGGCCAAGGTTTAGAAAATGTACATAGCATAGCAATTTTTATAGCAATATATTGGAGGGGGGGGGGACATTTTGAGCATATTGAATATTGGGGGGGGGGGGGGGGGTGGATGTGTGGGGATGTCCCCCCCCCCAAGAAATATTATAATTACGACCTTGGATTGAAACGTCGGACAGCATGTCGAACAACCCGAGGTACAATTAGAAAACACATCAGAGAGCTGTAGTTCTAACCTGGTCACTGGGGATGTAACCATGGCCGACTGGAATGGAAATCGATCTCTCTCGATAGAACTTACGTGTCAGGGACCTACCATCCATTGTTTATTAAGGCAGAATTTTTATATTTTATTATCAGTCTAATTGACAACAACTTGTGGAATGTTGGTTAAGACTTAGCCTGTGGATTTACTGGTAATTTCCATCACGCTTGATTATTTCTGTCCATGTATAGTCATGGGTGACTAAAATACAAAATAAAAATTCGTGGGGTATTTTTGTTGCTACTTCTTCTTCTTTCGTATGGCTAATGTAGATGCACAGCAACACCTACAATTTCGTATTAAGGTGGTCGGGAGTAGTGGAGTGTATCTCTGTGATGTCTCCTTCGTATTGTGGATCGTTATATTTCGATTTAAAGCTTTCGTGACTGCAGGGATTCATCTTCTTGGTTCTTTCGGTAAAGTCACGTAGAAGGGAAGTAATAAATAATTTTAAAAACGTCGTGAGAATTTTTGTTTATTATGTTTTATTTTTAATATTTTATTATACGCGACTTTACCGAGAGAACCAAGAAGATACGTCGTTGTATGTTATATGGTCTGTTCTGAATTATAAGAGTCGCACACTGGAGAGTTTCACATTTTCCATTCGTGCATCAGGTATCCTCATCTGCCATTGTTTGTGCAGATGTGGTTTATGGTGGATTATGAGCTTCGTGGACGATCAAACCCAGGGAACTATTTTACGTTGGGTCTTTGACAAGGTGTTTGTTTGCGAGTTCTTTCGAACTCCATTCAGTTTTCGAAGCTCCACTGTGCGTGTTTAACTGGCACCGTTGAAGGTATTTTCGTCGCTGGTTTCCTGAACGTATTCTAACACCGCCGCCATCTTGACCGTTCTGTGGTGCCAGGAACCTGCTCGTGTATGGAGGCGTGGGCCCTCAGCGTGCGTGCCCCGTGGCCCTGTGTAGGCGAGGAGGGCCGCAGGGATGTGGGCCCTGAGGCCTCCCGGGTGGCGCATGGCAGTGCTGCTTCGCGGACTCGCCATTGTCGCACTCACCCACCTGGGACAAAGCTGCCCACGGCACGGTGAGTGACAACGCGCTCGAGGTGCAGAAAAGTGAAAAGTGGACAGAAATTGAAACGGCCATGCTCTGTTTAGGAACGAGTGGGGGAGGAAACTGGAGTGTCCCACCAAAACAGAAGTTATCTGGAAGTGGCAGTTCAGTCATCCTCGTGTGCGCGTTTCAACACAGATCCTGGTAGCAGTACGAGATCGAGGTATTTTAGGTGTAATTACGAGTGACTAGGCTGAGATGTATAAGCTACTCCAGTTGATAACATGGTTAAGCCAAGATTTGAAGCTTTCGTGACTGCAAGGATTCATACAGCTATCGCGCTGTGACGGTGCCACCTGAAGACGGAGGCTTGTGTTGCCTCCGAAACGTCGTGATTTTTATTTTATTTTTATTTTACTTTTATTAATTTTAATTTTTTACCTACGTGACTTTCCCTAAAAAAACCTAAGAATATGGTTAAGCCACTTCGTTGAGCTACCGTTTGTGAACGGGTCGCTTTTGAAAAAAAAGCTATGCAGCTCAGTGGGCCCTTACCTGGTAAAATAAAAAGTGTTTAGCATATGAACATTTTTCGATGTAAAGCTTTCGTGACTGCAGGGATTCATCTTATTGGTTCTTTTGGTAAAGTCATGTAGATGGGAAATAATAAAATAATAAAAATAAACATAATAAAATACAATTCTCACGATGTTTCGGCCACAACGCAAGCAGCCGTCCTCAGGTGAAGAACAGGTCTGTCGGAAAGACAGCGTCTGAATGAAGAACAGGTCTGTCGGAAAGACAGCGTTGTGGCCGAAACGTCGTGAGAATTGTATTTTATTATGTTTTATTTTTATTACTTTATTATTTCCCTTCTACGTGACTTTACCGAAAGAACCAAGAAGACATATGAACATTATCCCATTGAGTCCCCCAGACGCAGAACTTGACCCTAGCTGTATCTCAGAGGTGCTGACGCAGCACCCTTGAACATGAACATCAGCCCTTTCATAGTCAGCTCAGCTCCAGTGATCAAACCCAGGTTTCTCAGAGGGTGCTGGCTCCGTGCCCTCTGGCGCAGGTATCAGCTGCCTGAGAAAAAATCCTCTTCTCGAGCTTGAACCCAGGTTTCTCAGAGGGATTGCTGGATCGGTGCCCCAACGCTGGTGTCATCCTCCCAAAGAGAGAAAGAGAGAGAGAGAAAAAACAGCCACCCATCGCCCTAACTCTGGTCTCGATACCAAAAACATTCATAACAGACACGGTCCGTTTGAAGTCCTTAAGCGGAAACGATTCTGTGGTTGTGGCCAACTTGGGTGCCCGAGACGGAGAGCATGGCGATTGCTTTGTGCAAGGGCAGGGGCGCTGCAATTGGAGGGAGACGAGGTCCCGCGGGTGCTGACAGCTGCGGCCCAGCAATCACGGTTCCCCTTTGATACCCACGATACCCTCCCGCGCCTGACACCAGAGCCTCCCACCCGCCCCCCCCCCCCCGGCTCTGTTCCGTAACCTCCTTTGCGAGCCAAGAGGGGCAGGCTGGCCTTGGGAGTGGTCACGGGAGGAACCTCGCCGGCTCACATCTGAATCGGGTTTGCTACCTGTGAGGCACAAACCAATTAGGCCACGTACGGGAAAAATAAAATCTCGCCTGTCCCGGCAGAGGGGAGAGCTTCATGTTGAAGGTGCAGTGCTGCGATTTCTTGCTCAAGCTGCTGCTGACACTAGGGCCTCCATTATAGGGAGAGAGAACACATTCCTGCGGAAGGAGCTGGTAGGAACGTTGGGTTGCTCGGTCAATGGCCAGGGTCAACGGCGGCGTGGTGTATTCCGCAAATATGCCCGACTGTGAGGGCGGGCACAAGCCGGCGTGAGTAGGTTAAACGTTGAGTTTTATAAGGGTACCACGGGGTGACCAGCCGCTCCCCACCCAGCCCCACCCCTCCCACCCCCACCCAGCCCCACCCTCCCCACCCAGCCCCTCCCTCCCCACTCAGCCCCTCCCCACCCTCCCCACCCAGCCCCACCCTCCCCTCCCCACCCACTCCCTCCCTCCCCACCCAGCTCTTCCCTGCACGACGGGCACAATAATCCCATGTGGGCTGGTGTAACCAGGAGGTTCCTACCAGTAAAAAAAAAGAGAGAGCTCTCTAGCGATCTCTCGAGAGCTCTGGAGTCAAGTTCACATGCATTTGTTTAAACGGGCAAGAATTCAAAAGATCAGGATGAGTCTCAATTACAACAGTCGCCATGGTCACCGAAATAACAAAAGCCAAAACAAATAAAAATCGAGCGCCGCAATGAAGCAAATCGAAATCGGGGCCCCCAAAACAATTGTCTCGCGCGAGAAATAACACAAAATATTGCACGAACATAATTTAAATGTTAATATTAAATTCCCTGTAGCGTGAGTCGACTTGGGCAGATGATTTTATGTTGGCGGTAGTGGATGTGATAATGTCAGCTTCTGTGTGCGAGTGTAGCCCACATGCCCAGCCACCGCATGCCCAAACGGCTTTTGTTTGGTCGGATAGGAGGGGGCTTAACGGGTGCGGCACGGGCTAGAGAAGAGATGGACTGATGTGGTACAAGAGGATGTGGAGCTTCAAGTTCAAGTGTCATTTATTGAGGTATAGCCCTGTGAGCCATTCGGCTCTTGAATCGGGTGCAACCGCAATAAACAAAAAACAAAAACATGAACAAGAAAACATCTTAAACATCCCTTTATTACTGCTAACCCTACCTCCTCCATTTGTTGCTGCTAATACTACATAATGCATATGACTTTGACCCCCCCCCCACCTCCTACGCATTCCACAAGTAGTGACTAATCCCATATCTGCATTTTCCATAAGTATGCTAAATTCCTCTGTTGATATGCAAATTCCTTTGTCAAGGCGCCCTTCCTCCCCTAACCCAGCTTAAATATACGCTGCCAAGCTTGGTGGTGTTCATTCAGACGCTGTCTTTCCGACAGACCTGTTCTTCACCTGAGGACGGCTGCTTGCGTTGTGGCCAAAACGTCGTGAGAATTGTATTTTATTATGTTTTATTTTTATTATTTTATTATTTCCCTTCTACGTGACTTTACGGAAAGAACCAAGAAGATCTTAAAGTGACTATGTGACTATGTGGAGCTGAGTGGACTTGCCGATGAATGGTACCAGCGGTGTCAAAATCGGCCTCTGTGGAGGAGGCTCGTGAAGGATGCTACTGGGCAGTTGGAGGGCAGAGGAGCGACGCTCACAACAACGAGCGGATGCTAAATCAGTCAACCCATGGCACCTGTATCTGTCCCGTAACCTCCTGCCAGTGAGCCTTCGACACTTCACGTGGCCTCAAAATGTACATAGCCTGGCACAAGTGCGTTGGTAACATCACTGTCACTTCCTGGCGAATGGGGGGACGGGGGGAGGGTGTACGTGTAGATTTGGAGTTTTAGCCCACAAACATTCACTTACACACGCAGACATGTAAGGGGTCGTCCATAAATGACGTCACGCGATTTTGGAGGATTTTCGACCCCCCCCCCGCCATCGTCACACGGCGTCACAAACAGTCAGACCTCCCCCCCTAAAACATGACGTCACAAAGCTCTGCCCCCCCCCCCCCCCAAAAAGAAAACATGCTTCAAATCGCTTTAAACTATTGTCATTGTAGTGCGTATTTAATGTGGCGCTGCACTCTGATGTTGTAGGGGAAAACATTTATTAAAACGTCTATTTAATTAAGTAGAACGTGTTTGTCTATATTTATTGAAAGTTGTGCATTTTGATGTGACGTCACATTTCTCAAACCCCCCCTCCCCCCATCGTCACACATCGTCACAAATATCTGACCCCCCCACCCCCCAGGTGCGTGACGTCATTTAAAGACGGCACCTAACCTTCCCATGGGGTGGTGCCACCATCTACAATTGATTGGGGGGGCGGGGGGGGTCGGAGGGGTGGGTCGGGGGTTGGGAGGGATAACTGATTCCACGCTAGGGGGGGGGGGCGTGGGAATGGGGGGCTGGAGGGCGGGGCTAATGACGTAGATGTTAAGTAGCTATACAGCAGCGTCTGCTGCTGCTGCTTATTGGCGGGTTGGATCGCATTAATATCAATGCGTCGTTAGCCAAACCAGCACACGACACAGTCAATTAGTAAGGTTTGTCACGTCAACAAAATGTGCCCGTTAGTTGCTATTTCAGCACACCGGTGCGTTGGAGAGTAAACGCACAACGTTAACAATTTTTAGATTTAAAGCTTTCGTGACTGCAGGGATTCATATTCTTTCGGTAAAGTCACGTAGAAGGGGAATAATAAAATAATAAATATAAAAGTTGTTTTTACTTTATTATTTCCCTTCTACGTGACTTTACCGAAAGAACCAATAATATGTTAACAATTGTAGTACGATCTTTCGCTGGTGATTACAACCAGCTTCATCAGGCGACTTGCCAGAATTGTTTACGTGGAAAACCTTACTAATTGGCTGTGTCGGGTGGTGGGGGGTTAACGACACATTTATATTTACGCGATCTGACAAAATAAAAAAAACGTATTTTAAATAATATTGGTCGTTAAAGCAGCGATTCAGATATCACTCAACACTGATATTAGCCATGACCAAAATCCAATTCAGGCTGGCAGTTTCATAGCGCAGTGCACGAATCACTGTGCCCAGATATAATGTTTTACTGGTAGGAACCTCCTGGTTCCACCATCCCACAGGGGATTATTGTGTCCGTCCGTCCGTCGTGCATCCAAAAATGGGAGGGGTGGGGCTGGGTGGAGAGGGGAGGGTGGGGAGGGGCTGGGTGGGGAGGGTGGGGCTGGGTGGGGAGGGGAGGGTGGGGAGGGGCTGGTCACCCCGTGGTGCCCTTATAAAACTCAACGTTTAACCTACTCACGGCGGCTTGTGCCCGCCCTCACAGTCAGGCATATTTGCGGAATACACCACGCCGCCGTTGACCCTGGCCATTGACCGAGCAACCCAACGTTCCTACCAGCTCCCTCCGCAGGACTGTTTTTGTAGCGTGATGTTGCCTTCCTCGCCTGGTATACAAGATGTTGGGGAGGTTGGGGATTTGACCCCGACACCGTCGCTTGTATATTTGGAGTTTCCACGTCTCTCTCCCCGTGGTCGCGTGGATTTTTGTTTCTTTTCTCAGGGCCCTCGAGTTTTTCCCCTCCACGTTTAGAAACGTGCGTTTTAGATTATTTGGCTGCCATAAATTTCCACACGATGATGAGCCACTTCGTTGAGCTATCATTTGTGGCCAGGTCGCTCGCTTCTGAAAAATAAGCTAATAGCTCAGTGGGGTTTACCTGGTGAAATAAAAAAAATGCTTTTTTTGTGATTGGCTTACCATTCCTATACTATGGACTCCTATCGTGTTTTTCGATTGTTGTTTTAACTTTCTGACACGCCCCTAATGGACACCTGTAAAAAAAAAGAGCCGTACAGTTCATTGGCTTCCTCCTGTAGTGTTTTACGCGAGGAAGGGGCCTTCCATAAATGACGTCACGCACCTGGGGGGGGAGGGTGGGGTCATACATTTGTGACGATGTGTGACGAGGGGGGGGGGGGGTGAGAAATGTGACGTCACATCAAAAATGCGAAACTTTAAATAAATACAGACAACACGTTCTACTTAATTAAATATACTTTTTAATAAATGTTTTCTCCTACAACATCAGAGTGCAGCGATTTGAAGCATATTTTATATATTTGGGGGGGGGGGGGGCAAAGCTTTGTGACGTCATATTTGAGAGGGGGGTCTGACTTTTTGCGACGCCGTGTGACGATGGCGGGCGGGGGGGGTCAAAAACCGCCCAAAATCGCGTGACGTCATTTACGGACGGCCCCTAAGCCACGTCCAGTAGTATGAATGAGTACACCGGTGTCGATCGGCCAACTGGTCGGATGGAGTGGTTAAGTGTGGGTACTCCCACCTCTCCCAAGACGTCCGATCAGCGTGGTAGTTTCGGCCTCAATACCGTCGGGAGAAGGGGCTGTTTTATTGCTCCCTCTAGCAAAGATCCTTCCAGTACAACAGTGGCACGAGCAAAAATTGTCAGCGCTGTGCTCATGGGCGGCGTTTGTGGGGGGGGGGGGGGGGGCACGGGGAGGGAAAGCCCCCCCCTCCCTCAAAACTGGACACCTTTGTTAAACTATTTTCAGTCTACTAATAGGGTTTTTCCCCTTTTTTCTGGCAACAAAAACTGACACCTCTTCTTGGTTCTTTCGGTAAAGTCACGTAGAAGGGAAGTAATAAAATAATAAAAATAAAACATAATAAAATCAAATAATTCTCACGACGTTTCGGCTACAACGCAAGCAACCGTCTTCAGGTGAAGAATGTGCGACACCTGAAGACGGCTGCTTGCGTTGTAGCCGAAACGTCGTGAGAATTATTTGATTTTATTATGTTTTATTTTTATTATTTTATTACTTCCCTTCTACGTGACTTTACCGAAAGAACCAAGAAGATGAATCCCTGCAGTCACGAAAGCTGTAAATCGAAAAAACTGACACCTTTTGCAAGGAATCATGCTCACATTAACCACAATACTTTCAGTCAAATGCAAACAAAAAAAGAATACTCTGATAATGTATGCATTGTCTTTGAAACTGATTGGTCCACACCAGAGACAGCTTTCTTTAGAGCCTAGTCTCATCTGGTGTTCGACCAGATGACGCCAAAAGGCGCAATTAAATGCAGCGTAATAATAATTATATGCATCCGCGATTCCGAATGTGATGGACAAAGCGAACCCCTGTCCTCCCCTCCCCCCCCTCAAAGATAGAAGTCAAGCTCCGTCTATGGCTGTGCTTTTATCTCTCTGAACATCTGTGTCATTGATACAAGTATAACCCGTAAAAACAAAGTTTTTCACTATAAATCCTTTATATGCGTGGCGGCTAGAGTCCTCTCGTCCTCTGGCTTGAGATGGCTGCCACCTATGGGTCAGATGATTGCCTGGCACCATTAAGCAATTGGTAATTAATATTATATTTTTGTCCTAAAAAGTGTAACATTTTGGAAAAAAATTTTCACGAACATTAATTGTCACGCACAACGAGTCTGTGTGGAAATTGTCAGCTCGATTGGATCACGGGAATTGGGTTAAAAAAACGACCGAAAGATTTGCACGGTCCTAAGCAAGCAAGCAAGTGAACTTAATATAAAGGATTTAAAAAAATTAACCCGTAAAAACAAAGTTTTTCACTCTAAATCCTTTATATGCGTGGCGGCTAGAGTCCTCTCGTCCTCTGGCTTGAGATGGCTGCCACCTATGGGTCAGATGATTGTCTGCCAGCATTAAGCAATTGGTAATTAAATATTTAAAAAAAATTCCCTAAACAGTGTAAAATTTTGGAAAAAATTTTTCACGAACATTAATTGTCTCGCACAACGAGTCTGTGTGGAAAATGTCAGCTCGATTGGATCACGGGAAGTGGGTTAAAAAACGACCGAAAGATTTGCACGGTCCTAAGCAAGCAAGCAAGTGAACTTAATATAAAGGATTTAAAAAACTATCGAAGTGGAATCCCACTGCTTGCTTGCGCCTGGTATACAGGAAGGTCGTGGGTTCAAACCCGACCTTGACGCTTGTATATTTGGAGTTTGCGTGTTTTCCCTCTCTGCCCGCGGCCACGTGGATTTCCCTCCGGGTTCTCCGGTTTTTTCCCCTCCACGTTTAGAATGAACATGGGTTTAGAGTATTTGACTGCTGTGCAGTGATTTTCCACGTGATAAGCCACTTCGTTGAGCTGTCATTTGTGGTGGCCAGGTTGGTTCTGAAAAATAAGCTACATAGCTCAGTGGGCCTTAGCTGGTAAAATAAAATAAATAGTTGAATCTTGATTGGAAGCTTTCGTGACTGCAGGAATCCATACTCTTTGGGTCTTTCGGTAAAGTCACGTAGGTATAACATACAAATAAAATATTTTATTTTCCTAAAATAAAATATTTTACTAAAATAAAATAAAAACAATAAAATACTGAAATAAAATATTTTATTTGTATGTTATACCTAAGTGACTTTACCGAAAGAACCAAAGAGTATAAAAATTAGTTTAGTTTGTATCATGCGTGTCTGTGAAACAATACAAAAATACTAAAATTAAATATACTAAAATAAAAATATTTTATTATATTTTAAGTTATACCTACGTGACTTTACCGAAAGAACCAAAGAGTATAAAAACATTGTTTAGTTGTTATCATGCGTGTCTGTGAAACAATAAAAAAATACTAAAATTAAATATACTAAAATAAACATTTTTTATGTTATACCTACGTGACTTTACCGAAAGAATCAAAGAGTATTAAAAAAATAGCTGAGCTTTTATCATGCGTGTCTGTGAAAATGTACGTACCATACACAGCTCCGTTAACATTTCCACGTTTGTGTTTGTGCCGGCAGCTATTGGGAGAATCACGATTCAAGACGGCGAATACGGTACCCGACCCCCCCCCCCCCACCCTTCGCACTCCTCCTGGTAGCAGCACACACAGAGGGCATCCTCATGAGCCTCGGCACATTCACTCAGCTCCGCTGAGACTCCGACACCAAATTGAAAATATCTTCCCATCGTGGGCATCAAGGGAATGGAGCGGATTTCCCTCGCAAATATAATAAGTGCACAGTTTCGTTTAGATGCGGTAAGACTCATCTTGTCTGTCCTTTCGTGGCTGTGTAATATGCAGATTGCAAGATGCACTTTGCCCTCGATAAAGTGTTTTAAAGGAGAAGTTGAGGGAGGGTCTTATAATCTGGCAGGCATGTATGAATGTGTGTGTGTGTGATCCGATTTGTCTAACTTTATTGACACCAGGGACATGTTTGGTATGTGACTTACTTTCCAGAGCATCGTATCATCTGAAGAATAGGGAACCTACTTTCCCGATTATATCCGATTAAATTCGCAGACCTTACTATTTATCCGTACATCAATGATTCATATGTTGTGCACGTATGTTTTATTAACTTTTTTTGCACCGTACGTAGCCAGCCGTGCTAATCGGAGGTGCGCGGGAAAGACAACAAACTAAACACACAAAGCAGTTCTAAAAAAAATTCTAGATTTGAAGTTTTCGTGACTGCAATGATCCATACTCTTTGGTTCTTTCGGTAAAGTCACGTAGGTATAAAATAAAAAAGATCAAAATTAAAATAATAAAAATAGAAAATGAAAATAACTGAATTAAATCACGACGTTTCGGAAGCAACACAATAAACGGAAACTTGTGTTGCTTCCGAAACGTCGTGATTTAATTTAGTTATTTTCTATTTTTTATTATTATTTTATTTTTAATTTTCACCTACGTGACTTTACCGCAAGAACCAAAGAGTACAGTTCTAAAGAAATTAGTTTTCAGTTTCGATTTAAAAGTGCATCGCTCCATTAGCTTCCTAATATCGTGAGGTAGAGCGTTCCAGACGGCCGCGGAAGCGCATCTGACAGCACGCGGTGCAGTGACCACCTTTGTCCAATGGCCAGCCAAAATCCGCCATGAGAATGACCGGAGTTCACGTGATGCTTTATGCTCCTTGACGAAATCAGCAAGGTTATTGTGGTTAAATTTCGATTTAAAGCTTTCGTGACTGCATGCAGGGATTCATCTTCTTGGTTCTTTCGGTAAAAGTCACGTAGAAGGGAAATAATAAAATAATAAAAATAAAACATAATAAAATACAATTCTCGCGACGTTTCGGCCACAATGCAAGCAGCCGTCCTCAGGTGAAGAACAGGTCTGTCGGACGCTGAAAGAACCAAGAAGAGGTTATTGTGGTTAATTTGTGGCAAGCACATTGTGCGTGACGAGTGCGATCTTATCATGTATTCGTCAGGTGCACGTTTGGTAGTTGCCCCATTATTATAACACAAAGCTATCATAAAGGCGTTTTTTTCACAGACAGGTAAAATATGCCAATAATTTTCGAAGTTGCTATCTGGTTTTAACATAATTTTGTTGCGATCGAAACGTCGTAGTTTTTTTGTTATTTTCTTTGAACCTCTCTACGTGACTTTACCGAAAGACCCAAAGAATATGAATAACTGCAGTCACGAAAGCTTTAAGTGAAGATTTAATTCAGTAATTTGCCGATAATTTTCTAAAATCTGGCAAATTTGGTACCGTGATGCCGACGCATATAGCCTACGCTTTTTTATCGTTAACGCCACAAGATTCTAGATTTGAAGCTTTCGTGACTGCAAGGATTCATACTCTTAGTTATTTCGGTAAAGTCACGTAGATAAAAAATGAAATAAAAATTAATAAAAATAAAACAATAAAATCACGACGTTTCGGAGGCAACACAAGCTTCCGTCTTCATAAGGTCGTACCTCTTGGGACTTCTCTTCACTTGATACAGATATTTTGCTGTGACAGTTTCACCTGAAGACGGAAGCTTGTGTTGCCTCCGAAACGTCGTGATTTTATTGTTTTTAGTAATTTTAATTTCATTTTTACCTACGTGACTTTACCGAAAGAACTAAGAGTATGAACGCCACAAGATCTTTAACGTGAACTGTGAAGCATCCTGTATGTTATGGTTAATACATCTGTAGTATATTAACCGGAGTTGCTCCTGGCCTCGCACCACGAAACTCTGCAACCACCGCACTACAGCTCGACCATGTCACCACTCTTACCTCTCTCTCTCATGTTCTGTCAGTACAAACTTAACGTTTTGCTATTCTAAATAAGCAAACATAGAGGAATATATATTCTTGGTTCTTTCGGTAAAGTCACGTAGAAGGGAAACAATAAAATAATGAAAATATAAGACAATAAAATTCTCACGACGTTTCGACTGCAACACAAGCAATCATCATCATCATCATTGTCTTATATTTTTATTATTTTATTGTTTCCCTTCTACGTGACTTTACCAAAAGAACCAAGAATATGAATCCCTGCAGTCACGAAAGCTTTAAATAAAAATATAGCATTATATATTATAATTCATTACATAAAGTTTACGTAACTCTAAAAATATCGTTTTTTTTTTATACACACGATTCGAAGCTTGTTTTTGTAATTGTACGCATTTTGGTGGGCGAATCAATGAATCATTATGTGCAGACCGTCACTGCCTGTGTGTAATGTTATATAGCGTGCCGTGGTCCCCCAGCTTGGCCGCTTGCTCGACCATCATTCATCGTTATCATCTTGCATTGTGCGCAATTCACATATCGTTTCAAAGCGCATGTCACAACACAGATCAAATACAGAAATGCGGTCAAAGTAAATGAATACGGTGCCGATCGTGTCGAGGAATGCTCATTTCATGGAACACAAACGGCATTTACTCGAACATTTCATTCATTGCCCCCCGCACAATGGACTCTTGATTAACTGTACTCCAGTAAACTGGCCGAGTGATCAAACTTTTTTCTCGCACAGCTGAGCGTGATTATGTATTTCTTTTTTAATTTAAACTGTTCTACTCTTATCCACAATTGTATTCCAATGGCACCGTCAGAGTCATGTCGTGAGATAAATACATTTCCATTTGTAGAAAGCGGTGTAACCTAACCCCGTGATACAGAACAGCCCGTGGAAGTTGATATCACAGAATTACTTCTGTGAACTGTTCAATTGCCTCGTATCCACACTTGGTAGTTGCTCCTTCTAGCATGCCATGCTGCAGGGATGTTCACAAATAGCCATTAAAGTGAACGTGTCATTTTAGTCCTCGAAAGTTTGAATATTTACATTAAGTGAAACACCAAATGTATCGTCACGGAGTTTTTTGTTTGTTTGTTTTGTATGGTAATTGGCAACTAGGCTGAGAAAATGGTAGACCACGGGTAGATAAAACTTGGATTCGAATACTAGGACTCAGCCACCGATGGTTGTTTTCAAATCTGAATGTGGGGTTTGACCCGTGTCCAAAATTACATATGTGCCCGATCTCATCAGATTTGACAAGCTGAGCAGATCTGAGCCTGGACAGTGGCTCCATAGGTGACCATTGCATCTCCGCTTAGCGCGTTTGGCTGCGTATTGTGTGAAACAAGTTCAACATACATACATTGTGAATTTAACAGGTGTTGTCGACTACTGCAGGGCTACGTTGACAAGTATGTGCATTTATGAATGCTGAACTCTTATAGCCTAAAAAACTAGATTCGAAGCTTTCGTGACTGCAGGAATTACTCTTTGGTTGTTTCGGCAAAGTCACGTAGAAAGAAATTAAATTAAATAATAATAGAATACGACGTTTCGATTGCAACACAATCCTTTGGAAGAACGTAATTAACCAGGTGGGGTGTTGACTGTTTGTTGGCCGACTCACTGTGTTGTACTGCATTATATTTCCAAGTTCACTATGTTTGTTTTCTCATTAATTTGTACCTGATGATGGTTGCTTGTGTTGTAATCGAAACGTCGTATTATATTCTTATAGCCTAGGTTATCACGAGTGCGCAACATAGATACACAGTAATCTCTCATCTAGATTTTGAAATTTTCGTGACCGCAGGGATCCATACCCTTTGCGTGCTCCTCACACCAAAGCATTGGACTGTACGTCAGGGTGCTTTAGTGGACAAAAGAGGACGACAAGACAATTCGAAAAGAACGAGATTCAAACTCCACAGGCTGTCGTTGACTGGACTAAGACCACGACCGAAATAAAACATTCTCCACTGAATAAACACCGCTCGCCACTGGAGGAGTCAACCAATCTAGATTTGAAATTTTCGTGACTGCAGGGATCCATACTCTTTTGTTCTTTCGGTAAAGTCACGTAGGTATAAAATAAAATTAAATCACGACGTTTCGGGCGCAACACAAGCGTCCGTCATCAGGTGAGACAACCACAAAAAGAAACAATTGCTGAAGTGGGCAAAATGGCTGCTGGAGCACTCCCCCCCCCTCTCTGTCTCTCCCCCTTTGCTCCTCCCCCCTCCTCTCTTACCTATATAGCCTCTTGTTACAGCAGCCCTTTTGCCCACTTCAGCAATTGTTTCTTGCTGTGGTTGTCCCACCTGATGACGGACGCTTGTGTTGCGCCCGAAACGTCGTGATTTAATTGTATTTTAGACCTACGTGACTTTACCGAAAGAACCAAAGAGTATATAGTAAGCTCTGTTCAACAGTTCTGCCTTGCATTTTCTACTGAACTGGTTAAATGTCTGTGAAGAGTCTCGAATACCGTGCGGCTACAGTGACTTCCAGGCCAATGTACCGCTGACGGCGAAGCTGCAAGGTCCGATTCTCGCTGTCCGAGTGCGCTGAACGATCAGGGTCACCGTGAGCTGCCGGACGAAGATGACGATGGTTGACAATGGAGTGTGCCGGCACACACGTGTCCATCCGATTGCGTGGAACAGATTGGTGTAGACACACACTTTGTGTATACAAATGTGCACAGCTTGTAATCCATCGTTAGTTTAATTGGCAGCCAGTGTAGGTCATCACGAATGGTCAGTGCGGCGATGATGTCGTAATTCCACTTTTGCACCATCGGACGTGCCGTTGAGTCAACAAAGGGCAGTGCGGAAAAATCCATTGTTGTACTGTACCGTGCTCCAACGTCTATGCTCCCCACCTTCACCAACCCGCGTTAAACGGCGTAGTAAAGGACGGTCAAATGACCCTCACGACCTGAACGACATGGAGGGCCTTCATTTAGCAGTGGCTTGATCAGAAAAAAACCCGGCGACCCGAGTTCGATTCCTACTCACGGCCAACACCAGCGACGATTATTTGAACCGGTCCTGTACCTCCCCTAGGTGGACTCAGTGTCAAATGAGTTCCTGGACCAGTGTGCAAACACCGCCACTAGGGAGACAAAGGCGGACGGGAGTGGTGCTGGCCACCCACCCTCTCGTGTGCCGTGCCGTCCTTCATAGGTGCTCGCTAACAGCACTTACTCCCACCGTCCGTTAAGGCTATACGGGAGATCTTTGTCTTTGTTCCTCGCACCTGCTCTACTCACTCCCACATGCCCTCCCACTTGCCCTTTCACCGTGCATCGCTTCTTCCAACTAGGGCACGGACGGGTGGCTCATCGTTTTCCCTCGGTTGACTTTAGCACAGAACAAGGCCGTAGCCATGGAGTCAACATTGGGGGGGGGGGGATCAAATCTTCTAGGGGTCTGGGGGTCCCCCCACAGAAAAAAAAATCTAAATTTCAAAACTCATTTACTGCCATTTCCTGCCTAAAATATTAAAAAATTCACTAACACATAGGACGGAGTTTTTATTTATTTTTTACTATAATGTCTAATAGTGTATCGTATTACATTGCCCTGTTTTTTTCTTTTTTACCTTTTCTTGTTTCATTGTATGTAATGGCAGAGATTCGGGATTAATAAAGTACGACCGTAACCACAATCATATAAACAGCAATCTATTTCATAGCAAAAATATTGGGGGGGGGGGGGTGGGACATTTCGAGCATTTTTGAATATTGTGGTGGGGGGGATGTATCCGCCCCAATATTATAATTACGGCCTTGGCACAGAGAACCCGCTTTGCGTTGTCTCGGTAAATGCTTCCACATTTGATTTGACTTGATTGAAGATCTGATTCATTGTTTAAGCTTATTTAGAAAGGTAGTGACTGGGGAAAAACCGGAGGACCTGGAGAAAAATCCACGCGACCACGGGGAGAACACGCAAACTCCAAATATCACAGCAGGCGTCAGGGTCGGGTTCGGGCTCGAACCTCACAATCTCCTGTATACCAGGCGAGGTAGTTAACATCTCGCCACCGAAAATATAGTAAGCCATTTGGGCCGGCGTTACGGTCCAAATAAAAATAAAATTACCTTAGAAATGACTCATTTGGGACGATACAAAAATCATCTCCCCGCTCCCCACCCCACTGATTTACTACTGCAGACCATTGCTGTGAAACATTGCACAAGAAAGGCACGAATAGCAAATGTTCTCATGATTTCAATCGATTCTGACACCTAACGATGTGGGGGCGCACGTCAGGATGGGGGACATCGTTGTCCAAGAGGCAAAAACTCAAGGTGGCATTCTGGAATTTGAAGTTTTCGTGACTGCATTTCAGCAATTGTTTCTTGCTGTGGTTGTCCCAACCTGATGACGGACGCTTGCGTTGCGCCCGAAACGTCGTGATTATTATTATTATTTTTATACCTACGTGACTTTAACGAAAAACTCAAGGTGGCATGTCCGTTTGTGGATGGGCTATGGCCTCTGCGTGGCTCAGAAATGACCGGACTAAACGGGTCCTCTCGTATCCCCGGGAGACGACGATCCCCTTGCTTTATCCCCTCACGCCTTTCAGGTTCCAGAGACGCTGACAGAAACGCTTTCAGGGCCGCCTACAGTGAGCACTGTTGGGCCGAAACAGATGGGCGTCTGTTGAGGTTGGGTTTTTTTTGTGTTGTGTGGCACGACTGTACGTACGTGCGCGCGTGTGGTCACGTTGGGGGAGCGGTGGTGCAGCGGTTGGCGCCGCCGCGCGACTAACCCGGCGTGTCCCGAGTTCGATCCCCGCCCACGGCCAACACCGAGGTGACGATTATCTGAACCGGTTCTGGGACTCCCCTAGGTCGGCTCAGACTCAAATAAGTACCCGGTGCGGTGTGTCTACAATGCCACGAGGGAGACAAAGGCGGCCGGGCGTGGTGTTGCACCCCCCCCTTTAACCCTCGTGTGCCGTTCCGGTCTTCATAGGTGCTCACTAACAGCACTTGCTCCAACAGTCTGTTCAGGCGATACGGCAGATCTCTGTCTTTTTGGTGATGTGTGGAGGAGTGGTGGCACGGCAGTTAGCGCGCTGCTGCGACCCGTATTCAATGCTGCCGCTCGCGACCAAATAACTGTGGCGGGTATATGTTTGAACCGGTCCCGAGCCGTCCCTTGGTCGACTCAGCCTTAACTGAGTAACCAGTGTGGTGTGCGAACATCCGCATTGGGGTGACAAAGATGGTCGGGCACGTGCTGTACCAGCTTTTACAGGTGCTCGCTAACACCACTTGTTCTCAATAGCCTGTTAAAGGCAATTACAATGAATCGTTGTATTTATTGTGTGGCGTAGTGGTTCGTGCCGCTTCCATATGTAGGTCCTTTTTTTGACACGCTTTTATTTAACTCATTCTGTCTGTTGTTGTTGTCGTATCCTCAAATCTTGTAACTCAATTTTAACCCACTTCCCAATGTGGTATCGACTGCAAACTTGGTATACCTATGTCGCACTGATGACAATACTATATTCTATCATAAAAAAAAGAAAAATAAAGCATTTTTAAACATTATTTTTGTATATGTTATGTTTCGGCTTTGGTCTAATTGTCCACGCTCAACTGACGTTGCCTGTAAATCACCACGGCCCCCTTACATTATGGCAAGCCTCGGGGCCACTTCCTTGAGTCATGGAGGTTTGCCATTACGAGTACGGTACATTTCATCAAAGCGTGTTTTTATTAAGTATGTTTAAATATTACTTATTACCGTGGAGCACTCCATAAGATCGCAAGTAGCAATTGCACAGTATTTAAGTTTTCCCTGAGTCTTCCCCAAGGTCCACTCATCGTAAAATGTTGAGCAACTGTTGTGGCGTGTCTACGATTAAATCCCCAAGCGATTCCGTAAATTTCCCAAATTTAGGAAAAAAACAAGAAACAATACAAACAAGACATTGAAATCTAGATTTGAAGTTTTCGTGACTGCAGGGATCCATACTCTTTGGTTCTTTCGGTAAAGTCACGTAGGTATAAAATAACCTCTTACCACGGCAACTCTCTCCCACTTCAGCAAAATAAAAAATCTTGCTGTGGTTTTCCCACCTGATGATGATTGCTTGTGTTGCAATCGAAACGTCGTGATTGAATTTATTTTATTTTATACCTACGTGACTTTACCGAAAGAACCAAAGAGCAAAGACATTAAAAAAAATTGACAAATACATTCTTAAATTGCATCGTGACCATGACTCATGAAAATGTATTGAATATCTTAGTGTTTGGATTGGGGAGTGGGGGGAGAATTGAGATGAATTGTTACAAGCCTGATTGAAATAAAAAAAACAATGATCCCTCCTGGGGTGAATTAAACGAGTACCAATTAGTGACAAATGAAGGGCATTTAGATGCTATATATATCCATATTTTATTATGTTGCGGTAAAGCAATGGTTAGCTTACCGATGGACATTCTATCTCCACTATCAGTGTTTTGGATCACACCTTAAGACTTATTCCTTCAACCTACGTTGTCTTAATTACGTGCGAATGTGTGTTTGAATGTTGTAAACATCCGTGTATACGTTTAAAGACGCATTTCCCTTGGTAATGTTAAAATATCCCTGCAGCGTTAACCTGACGATATTAATGGCCACCTGCATCTGCACAATATTCAACGTGAATATGAAAACAATTCAAACATTAACTGTTGAGACTTTGCAATGCCACGTGGCAAGGTCGTGTTAAACAAGCTCGCTAAAATGTCCCACCTGATGACGGACGCTTGTGTTGCGCCCGAAACGTCGTGATTTAATTTATTTTATTTCATACCTACGTGACTTTACCGAAAGAACCAAAGAGTAAAACTCGCTAAATTATGCAAACGTATTTCCCCGTGTGATTATACAAATGCTTTACTTGTTGAAACGCCTTTTTTAAAATATCAATTCCCATGCCTCGTCCCATTTTTAGGTGGCAGAACAAATGAAAAAATGTATGCAACGGCACGCAGTGAACATGAAGGTGAGCTGCCTATCTATGAGATCAACACGCACAACTGCATCAGCACAGTACCTTCTGATGCTGTGGCCCTTACAAGATGTATACATAAGCATCTGGCCAGCGGGGGAAAGTAGGCCAAGTACCCTCTTAGAGGGTCTCTCCTGCGCTCCTCCTAATAGAAGACCTTCCGCCAGCAGTAGCGTGAGGACCTAATTCACTAGAATTTGCTAGAACTGAAACCACTGGGTGATTTGTCCATGGGCATACACGTACAGGCCTTCTCTACTGCTGGATGAGCACCTCCCCACACGGTGTGGGTCTATGGGTGTTATTCTAACGTAGTCTATAATGTGCTGGTCAGTTGCTGGTTGGGCGAAGGCGGAGAGCATAGACGTGGGAGCATAGTGCAGTACAACAACATCCTTCGCTGCACTGCCTTCTGCTGCTGGCAACGTTGCCCCATTGCAGTCTAGAACACCATATTATTGGTTCTTTCGGTAGCGTAACGTAGAAGGGAAATAATAAAATAATAAAAATCAAACAGTAAAATGTCTTTTAATGTGACTTTACCGAAAGAACCAAGAATATGAATCCCGGCAGTCACGAAAGCTTCAAATCGATATCTAGAACACCTGTTTTATGCGTGGTGGTCACGAGTAGTGAACTAAGCTAAATGTTTTGGAAGGGATAACTCATTGCGGGCAAGAAAAATGTATTGCATATAATTGAAGCTTTGCTTGTTTTTTTTCGTTGTTATTTAAAAGGGAAATAAACATCAAACATCATGAATTAACTAAAATTTTACATTCGTGAAAAAAATATAAAAAATAGTTTCTCATATGCAGCGGTCCATCTAAAAAAACAAATGTCACCGCTCTGGTCGGTGCAGGATGGTGAAGGGAAAACATCCAACATCGGTTCAGGGCATCAATCACGACTGACGTTCACCATTGCCACGAATCGAACTCAGGCAGTCAGGTTCATAGGGCAGTGCGCTAACCACTGTACCGTCACTTTCGTTCCATGTGATTAAGATTTTCCTGGCCGTGTAAAAGCGGGACAGTAATGCGAATGGGTCCTGACGTCATTAATGTAATGTCCTGTGTTCATCATCACGCAGTCGGCAGAATGAATGGGAAAATATATTCGACGACAAAAAGTGCTTACGAAGGTGAGTTGCTTCCACTTCATTCGAAGCAAGAGTTGGAAACATCTTCTTGGTTTTTTCGGTAAAGTCACGTAGAAGGGAAGTAATAAAATAATAAAAATAAAACATAATAAAATAATTCTCACGACGTTTCGGCTACAACGCAAGCAGCCGTCTTCAGGTGAAGAATGAAACCCCCCCGCCCACCTCCTACGCATTTCCCATTAATATGCTAAATTCCTCTTGATATGCACATTCTTTTATTAAGGCGCTCTTCTTCTCAGCTTATATATAAGCTCCTAGCTTGGCAGTGTCTCATTCTTCACCTGAAGACGGCTGCTTGCGTTGTAGCCAAAACGTCGTGAGAATTATTTTATTATGTTTTATTTTTATTATTTTATTACTTCCCTTCTACGTGACTTTACCGAAAAAAAAACCAAGAAGATGAATTCCTGCAGTCACGAAAGCTTTAAATCGAAAGTTGGAAACATTTTCAAACAGTATTTTCACATTCATTATTGTTGTTTCATTGTTGTTTCGCTGCCCTGACCGAGCTTACATTTGATCTTTAAAAAATCTGCAATGTGTACGACCATGCTATAGTCTATATTTGTATTTACTTTTCTTAAATGTTCTCTACCTTACTATTGTATATTTTCGTGTCTTTTTGATGTCGGTCTAACTTGCTTCCCCAGCCCTTCTGGGCATTTGTGCAAAAAGAGCTTCATCGATATTCTTTCAGTGTCAATAAAGATTCTGATGTAGTAATAGGTTTTTACCCTTTCAACTGGTACAAAAACTGACACCTTTATACAAGGCATCATGTTTGCAATAACCACAACACAAGCAGTCAAAATGCAAACAAAAAGAAACTACTCTGATGATGATGATATGCACTGTCCTTGAAGTTGATTGGTCCACACCCGAGACAGCTTTTCTTAGAGCCTAGTCTCCATTGGTGTTGGACCAGACGACGCCAAAAGGCGTACAACTCAAAGACAGCGCACTATCAGAGTATTGAGACCTCGGGGTAAGCATTTACACTATTATACCTCCTTTACCAGTGGCAAAATATAGTAATAGGTTTTTACCCTTTCAACTGGTACAAAAACTGACACCTTTATACATATATTTTGCCACTGGTAAGGAGGTCTCATAGTGTAAAAGATTCTGATGCTTTGGCCATCCACACACGAGGACACACCTTGAGCGTCAATCAATAACAAAGCACGAAAACACAATTCGGGTTCACCCTCGACCGCATGCACGAATTAAATGCCTGGGCCTGCATTGTTCTCATTAATTGTGAGGGTCAAAATTCTGCAGAAGAGACACACAGCGAAGATCCTTGCAGTGATGGATATGAATATCGTACACAGCATGAGGCTGTGTACGATATTTTGTTTTAGTTGCACAGTTGCCGACCCGAAGGTCCAAAATGTCAAGCGACCAGCAATAAACGACACGATTATTCAAGCTGTAGTAGATAAGAGATTACACGGTTGCTGAATAAGGGCTTAGGAAAAGAGACCGTATTTAGATCTGGCCACACCTCAGTTCCATTCTCTGCCGTGGTAAGTGGCATATAAACCGGTCCGGGCTCCTAGTTCACCAACTCACACAGTCCATTTGTGGTTAAGTATCGTCAAACAACCTCATGACCAATGTGTGGGAAAGCCTTCATCTAACAGTGGATTAATACGTGTCATAAAATAAATTATTAAATAAAAAATGTTCATCATATAATTGAAAGCGCAACACAGGGACAATATCTGCCAGACATTGTGGCGTCCAATGTGCCTTTGACTTTTTTGGTCATGGACACAATATATTCATGCAGATGTTTCAATTGAACAGGTGCAAGAACTCATGGGAAAATGCATTCAACGTCACGACGGCCTTATGAAGGTGGGTTGTGTAGAGATTGACATGAATAGTAATAAAAAAACAATCTGTTATAACATCAACCAGCAACATTCCCAAGGCGATGAAGGTATACATACAACATTTCAATATGATGTACAATTGATAAGCGTCAGTGGGTCAATATAATTGAATTATTTAAAATTTTAAGTGTCGGATATGTCAACTGTGGTCGTGATATGAACGGATTGGCCCCCTTCCATAAAAAATCAGAATTTAAACCCCTGGCTTAGATCAAATTACTACCCTTTTTATCTGGCAACAAAACTGACACTTTTTTTACAAGGAATCATGTTTGCATTAGCCACAATACCTGCGGTCATAATGCAAAAAAGAGCCCAGTCTCACATGGTGTTGGACCAAAATACGCCAAAAGTGCGCCTTTTGGCGTCATCTGGTCCAACACCATGTGAGACTGGGCTCTAAGAAAAGCTGTCTCTGGTGTGGACCAATCCATTTCAAGGACAACGCATACATTATCAGAGTTTTTTGTTGTTGCATTCTGATCGCAAGTATTGTGGTTAATGCAAACATGATTCCTTGTAAAAATGTGTCAGTTTTGTTTCCAGAAAAAAGGGTAAAAAACGTATTATATTTTGCTACTGGCAAATGAGGCCTTATGATGATGTAGATTACCATATCATAACCATCATCAGCAATGACGAATCCACTGCTGTATCAGGGCCTTGTACAAAGAAACGTCACCATCACTCACGATCCTCTGACACAATAAACCACCTAGTGCTAAAATTCATCACTCCTAGTCATTGGAATTGTGTCTAAAAAAATGTAATATTTGTATGTAAATTATATGATCATCTCAGAACTTTGAGAGCGAGATTCAGCATATAATCATAAGTAATATATGCATCAGTCACTTGCAAATATGCAGAAAGGCACACATTTTTTTGCTAAAGTTCGACGTTAATCTAGCCCAAGGATGTTCACATTTACTCAGTAGTTGCTCAACATTAAGGTTGTCAGTGGCGCCGGGTCCACTAGTGAAAGACTAAAAAAACAAGTCCATAATACAGGTGTTATTTTGTATTAGATCTCGTAAATATATGAACGTGTCGTTAAACCCGCCACCACCCGGAAAAGGCAATTAGTAAGGTTTGTCACGAAAAGAGAACATGCCAATTCGTTACTAGTACAGCACACCGGTGTGTTGGAAAGCACAGCAACAACATTTACAATCTGAGTACGACGTTTCGCTAGTAATTGCAACTAGCTTCATCAGGCGACAGCCAGATTTGTGTTCAACAAAAAAAATATTCAATTACTTGCTCATTATATATGCATAAACTGCAAACACCCCCCTTCCATCCCTCTTCGGAATTCCATTTACCAGCAATATATGTATCCACCGGCCACCACTGCCTCTAACTCTCCCCCCCCCACCCCTCTTTCCCAGCCACATTTGGGCCCAGGCTACGTCTCTCGGGGAGCCTGGGAGACACATCTGTGTCGACCGACTCAGATCGCTGCCAGGGCCGCGTCGAGGTGCTCCACGACGGCACGTGGGGCACGGTGTGCGACGACGGCTGGGATCTTCTGGCGGCCGGCGTGGCCTGTGCCTGGCTCGGCTGCGGGGAGGCCCTGGCGGCGCCCGGGGCGGCTCACTTTGGCCGCGGCCGGGGCCCCGTACACCTGGACAACGTGCGGTGCGAGGGGTACGAAAGCGCCCTCTGGGAGTGCGAGCACGCCGGCTGGGGAGACCACAACTGTGGCCACCACGAGGACGCCAGCATCGTCTGTCAGGGTGAGTGCTGCTGGGTAACGTTGTTGAGTGGCGCGCAGGTTGGCGCGACTGCACCGGGGGCCCTTTGGATGGAGGGGTCCAGAAGCTGGGCTGTGAAGAGTGGGGACAGTCGGCTCCGTTTCGATTGCTGCGTCGTCTATCAGGGTGGTCACCAGTGGCATAGCTAACCGTGCTATTGCTCCTGGTGAAACTGGGCGTGGATGGGCAAGGGCGTGTCGTGATTTGCTGGGAGATGATGCATTGTGGAGGTAGCATGACAGGTGTTATTTAGTGGTGGGTGGCAGCTCCCCTGTGACAATCGTGTGTGTGTATGTATGTATGTTGAACTTCGTTTGCACCGTATGTAGCCAACCGTGCAAATCAGAGGTGCGATTAGCATCCCTCCACCTCTCTGAGGTAAATGCTGGTTGGCCAGAGCACAGCAATCTGGCACGTTGACGAGCACAGGTGGTGCATTAGCCAATCCAATGACCCTAATCGGTTAAATTATAACCCCTCATCGCTGCCGACAACATACGTAACATGACGTGTAAATAATGACCCATCTTCATAGATGATGAAGAAGGGCAATTGCTTGAAACGTCACCTATTACATATATATTAAGTCTCTTGAGGACAAGTGTTAGTAAACAAATGTGTTGAACTTCAGTTTTCAGGGCAGCCATCTTGGTTTCCAGCCTGGATTTTGGGCCCGCTAAAAACTGACTGATGTAAATGTGACCCTGTCTGTGTGTTTAGGGGCCTTTCCAACCACGACGATGCGGCCGACTGTACAGCCGGTGTCCGAGTTCCCGAAAGGTAATTGCGAAAGTGAAACTGTACAGCTTTGCATGATAATCGTTTGTCGCCATATTTGTTTTTACTTACCTAGGAAAGCCTCGGTGGGTTCTCAAGGCTACGTGGTAGTAGTTTTATACCGAAATTATTGTCATTAACCCTCCACTACCAGACAAATTTGTTACGTTGACAAATGTATAATTTTAATATGTGGCTATCGATTGGATTTCTGACCAATAAAGATCACAGGTCGCTTAAAGATGTTTCAACACTGAATTCAACATCAATATATGACGATCTTTCGCTCAAACTGCTTTAAGCTTTGTCTGGCAGTATACTCGGAAACCGAGTACACCGAGTACACTGCACAGGCTTTTACTTACAAGTGAGAAAGACGTATTCATTTTAAAGCACCACAGTGGAACGAATTCCCCTTGGAAGCAAGAAGAGTTGATTGATCTGATTCTCTCAAACAAAGCCACGTTTGGTGGTGCATCCCTAATGCAACACGGTTAGGCGGATCACAAACATTCGTGAATTTTCCACACCTTCTGTGCTGTAACGTGGCCAGGGAATGCTTGTACAGCACGTTGAGTTCGTGAACACTATTGTGCAGGCATCTTGAGTGTTACCGCTTATATGTGTGGGTTTTCTAGGGGTACTCTGATTCCTTCCCGCGCAAGACACAAGTTTCTTTAAAATCAAATTGGACAGACATTGCATTGCAGGATCATGCTTAAAAGCACCATTGAGGCTCAGTCAGGCTTTCCTGGATGCACAAGGGGCCGTCCATAAATGACGTCACGCACCTAGGGGGGGGGGGTCAAACATTTATGACGATGTGTGACGATGGGGGGGGGGGTTGAGAAATATGACGTCACGTAAAAATGTGCAACTTTAAATAAATTTAGACAACACGTTCTACTTAATTAAATAGACTTTTCTAATAAATGTTTTCTCCTACAACATCAGAGTGCAGCGCTACGCACTACAATGACAATAGTTTAAAGCGATCTGAAGCATGTTTTTTATTTTGGGGGCGGGGGGGGCAGAGCTTTGTGACGTCATATTTGAGGGAGGGTCTGACTTTTTGTGACACCGTGTGACGAAGGGGGGGGGGGGTCAAATATCGTCCAAAATCGCGTGACGTCATTTATGGACGGCCCCCAATGACAATCATAATTATAGAACATATATTTGTCAACCTGCGTGGTCGAATTTTAGGGTTATGTGAAAAATAACATGCCACTGGCATTTGCTAGCCTCCAAATCTGCTGAAATTTTATACATTGCTCACGAATTACATATTTGGGAAAAGCCACGTAAAGCAACATTGCCCCCTACTGGCATACGAATGCCGACTTGCAGGCGAGTGCTGCGTTCACCTTGTGCTGCCACCACCACCAGGAGGCCCCTTTCGCTAGACCACCACAGGGTGCCCCAGATGTTGCTGCACGGGCGACGCGGTATACAAAAACACATTCCTGCGGAGGGAGCTGGTAGGAACGTTGGGTTGCTCGGTCAATGGCCAGGGTCAACGGCGGCGTGGTGTATTCCGCAAATATGGCCGACTGTGAGGGCGGGCACAAGCCGGCGTGAGTAGGTTAAACGTTGAGTTTTATAAGGGCACTACGGGGTGATCAGCCCCTCCCCACCCAGCCCCATCCCTCCCTCCCACCCCCCACCCAGCCCCTCCCCACCCTCCTCACCCAGCCCCTCCCCACCCTCCCCTCCCCTCCCCACCCAGCCCCTCCCTCCCCACCCAGCCCCTCCCTGCACGACGGACGGACGGACACAATAATCCGCTGTGGGCTGGATAGATCCAGTGGGTTCCTACCAGTATAAATGAGGACTATGATACCAAATCATCTCGACGAGTGATCCCGAGCCCTCGTCACCTTTAATTTTTCTCACTCCCTCCTGCCTCGTGAACCATCTCCCCCCCCGCCGCCCCCCGACCCCTCGGTGGGTGGCACACGCAATTAAGGGCTCAAGCTGCTGCGCTTGGCGTGGGGCTCGGAGCCTGGACTGCGCCCCCCGCCGCGCTGCCAGGGCCGCGTGGAGGTCCTTTACGAGAGCGAGTGGGGCACGGTGTGCGACGACGAATGGGACATGCTGGAGGCCAGCGTGGCGTGTGCATGGCTCGGGTGCGGGGAGGCCCTGGCGGCGCCCGGAGCGGCTCACTTTGGCCGCGGCCGGGGTCCCGTGCACCTGGACAACATTCACTGCCGTGGGGACGAGAGCGCCCTCTGGGAGTGCGAGCACGCCGGCTGGGGAGACCACAACTGCGGGCACCACGAGGACGCCAGCATCGTCTGTCAGGGTGAGCGCACGTCAGAGGTCGCAACCGGGTACCCGATACCCGTACCCTTCCCGATACCCCTGGTGCGGCCGGGTACGGGCAGGCCGTGAGTCACTCTATGTATCTTTGTGATATCTGTCTGCTTATATGTCTGTCTATAGTTTTCTGGTTAGATTTTTGTTGCTATTTCTTTTATACCTGATGATGATTGCTTGTGTTGCAATCGAAACGTCGTAGTATGCTATTATTGAATTTATAATTTTATCTTTATACGTGACTTTACCGAAAGAACCTAAGAGTAATTCCTGCAGTCACGAAAGCTCCAAATTAAGATTGGTGAGTAACCGTTTGTCACTCATTTCGGGTAGGGTACGGGTAGGGAACGGGTACCCGTACCTGGTCGGGTAAGGGTACCCATTTGCCACCCTGGTGCGGCCGGGTACGGGTAAGGAATCAAACCCCTTTTGCGACCTCTGGCGCACGTGGTGAGATGTTGTCGGGGTGATGGATGGGCGTGTGTCTGTGTTAGCGCGAGATAAGTGGCGTGGTGGAGTTGGCATGGGCTCTGGTGCAAGGGATTTAATGGCACCCTTTTTAATATTCGCCCAATTTTGTAGTTTTTTTGTCTCGGCCCCACTGACCCTGCGACCCTGGTGCAGTTGCACTGCCTGCACTCTCGATAGCGATACCACTGGGTGAGGCTAATTGTATGATGTGTCAGGGTGAGGTTTGCGGTGAGGTGTATCGGGGTGAGGATGGGGGTGTGATGTGTCAGAGTGAGAATGTGGGTGAGGTGTGTCAGGGTGAGGCGTGGGGTGAGACTGTACCAGGGTGTGGCTAAGGGGGTTGTAACGTGTCAGCGAAAAGGAAGGGGCATTGGTGAGCATTAGGCAAATAGCGATGCATTGATATAATTGGATAAAACCGATGATTACACTCAATACATTATAGTGACTGTTTAAGAATCAGTCACTATAATGATATGGAAATACTGCAGGTAGGCAAATGCGGAAAATGATAACAAGATATTTCATTGCAAACAAGATGGTAAAATAAAAATAAGTTCTTAATCAAATAACCACCCAAAATTTTAACAATTCATCGAATCACTGGCAAAGGGGTTGAGGGTGAATTCTGAGAGGCCAATAATAACACTGGTCAACACACTTTTTCTGGACATAAGGTATTCCAACGAGTTTTAAGGTAATTTTGGGGTGCTGATTCCAAATCTGGCATCAGTTTTTGTCTATCACATCAGGTTTTTGAGACATAAAATATTGCATTTTCAATAAAAACTGCAAAAGAAAAATATTAAATAAATGTGGATATCTACATAAAATGATATTATAAACACACTATCCTAAAAATACAGCACCATGTTTTAACACTAAAGCAGTCACTGACTCGCAACAACTTGCAATCATAAGTGACAGAGTTAATTTCGGGTAAAATCAATGAAAATGGGGTATGCGGATAGCATAAAAATGAAATGTGATAGAGCAAATCTGAGATCAGATTTGGAATCAGCACCCTGAAATTAGTCTAAAACAGCTGCAAAAGTCCAGGCCAGAAAAAAAAGGTTTTTTTTGTTGACCAGTGTAATCACCCGATGACCTCAGTTCTGTGCATTTGCAATGTTTAACTTAAACATATAAAGACATTCTAGATTTGAAGTTTTCGTGACTGCAAGGATCCATACTTTTTATTTTTGTCGGTAAAGTCACGTAGGTAAAAAATAAAATAAATTAAAATGAAAACAACTAAATTAAATCACGACGTTTCGGGCACAACACAAGCGTCCTTCTTCAGGTGGGGACAAACAGCGAAAAAACAACCGCTTAAGTATGCCTTACTTGCGCCCGAAACGTCGTGATTTAATTCAGTTTTCATTTTAATTCATTACATTTTTTTCCTACGTGACTTTACCGACAAAAATAAAAAGTATGGATCCTTGCAGTCACGAAAACTTCAAATCTAGAATGTCTTTATATGTTTAAGTTAAACATTGCAAATGCACACAACTGAGGTCATCGGGTAATTATTAATCACTGGTCAACTAAAAAAACTTTTTCTTCTGGCCTGGACTTTTGCAGCTGTTTTAGACTAATTTCTGGGTGCTGACTCCAAATCTGATCTCAGATTTGCTCTATCACATCTCATTTTTATAAACACATTTCGATTTAAAGCTTTCGTGACTTCAGGGATTCATCTTCTTGGTTCTTTCGGTAACGTCACGTAGAAGGGAGATAATAAAATAATAAAAATAAAACACAATAAAATACAATTCTCACGACGTTTCGGCTACAACGCAAGCAGCCATCCTCAGGTGAAGAACAGGTCTGTCGGAAAGACAGCGTCTGAATGAAGAACAGGTCTGTCGGAAAGACAGCGTCTGAATGAAGAACAGGTCTGTCGGAAAGACAGCGTCTGAATGAAGCTGTCTTTCCGACAGACCTGTTCTTCACCTGAGGACGGCTGCTTGCGTTGTGGCCGAAACGTCGTGAGAATTTATTTTATTGTGTTTTATTTTTATTATTTTATTATCTCCCTTCTACGTGACTTTACCGAAAGAACCAAAAAGTATATAAAGATATGTTAAATCGACGTGAAACCTCACTCTGTGGCCATTGTTGCATTGTGTGTGTCATTGCCTTTGTCTCTGTAGGGGCCTTCCTCACTACGCCGGCCCCGACTACCCCTACTCACCCTCCGACAATGAGTCCATCCATCCCCGACTCCTCCAATGTCAGTTCCGGTGAGGCCTTGCAGTCCTATCGCATTCGGTTATTCAAATGAATTATCCTCTTGGTTCTTTCGGACTCTGTCTTCAGACTCTGTCTTCTCGACAGACCTGTTCTCCACCTGAGGACGGCTGCTTGCGTTGTGGCCGAAACGTCGTGAGAATTATTTTATTATGTTTATTTTTATTATTTTATTATTTCCATTCTACGTGACTTTACCGAAAGAACCAAGAATATGAATCCCTGCAGTCACGAAAGCTTTAAATCGAAATCAAATGAATTAGTTTCACGATTGCTATGACAAACAGTCAAAGGGGGTCAAAGTGTCTTCGTTCATTCTGGATCTTCTAAAAGGCAGAAGTATGATGTTTTTTACGTAATACTCATTGACGATACAGTAAAACATTGGATTGCGAGCATAATTCGTTCCGGAAACGTGTTTGTAATCCAAAGCACTCGTATATCATTTTCTTAGGTTTTTTCGGTAAAGTCACGTAGGTAAAACATCAAAATTAATAAAAATAAATAAAAATAAAATAAAACAAAAATCACGACGTTTCGGAGGCAACACAAGTCTCCGTCATCAGGTGGGACCGTCACAGCCGGATTAGCTGCATCAAGTGATTAGCTGCATCAAGTGATGCAGCTAATCCGGCTGTGACGGTCCCACCTGATGACGGAGACTTGTGTTGCCTCCGAAACGTCGTGATTTTTGTTTTATTTTATTTTTATTTATTTTTATTAATTTTGATGTTTTACCTACGTGACTTTACCGAAAAAACCTAAGAATATGAATCCTTGCAGTCACGAAAGCTTCAAATCTAGAACTCGTATATCAGTTGTGATCACGTGACGCTCGGCAGACAAAGCGTAAACACGTACTACTCGTATTGCAAGACCTCGCTCGTTTATCAAATTAATATTTATTTTTAAAATTTTGCTCGTCTTGCAAAACACTCGCAGACCAAGTTACTCGCAATCCAAGCTTTTACTGTATCTGGATTCTCCTGCTTTTCATCGGCTTTAGCATCATATTCCACCGGATGTGAATTACGTGGTTCATTGATGATGGGGTGGTGTTGTTTTAGGCGTTTAGCGCGAGACTTAAAGTATGTTATAACTTCATGCTTAGCTTACCCTATAAGTAAAACCAATTAAACTCGGGATGCAATTTTGGAGCTGAACTTCTAAAATTTGGGATTTTGGATTGCCTTAATTGTATCCATGGAGTTAAAACATTTTTGCGCTAAATATTGAGATATCCAGCCTTCCATAAACCATTATAATATATACCAGTAATAATGGCATATATGTATTACAGTTCTTCAAATATGTTTCGGAATTTTACGTATTATTTAATATTTTAGTCTTCATTTGTACGATTTTTTTTGTCACGTCATTTTTTTATTGCGATGTTTGCACATTGGGATTTCTTACCCATCATACTGGACCCTATAGACCAGAGTTTCCTTTCTGGTTGCCTGCGAGCCCCATCCCGGCCCACGAAAGCCTGTTGAGAGATACGAATTAGGACATACAGACTCGTGAGATGAGAGATGAGAGGCAGAGATGAGAGAGCTAGAGACAACGGATACACATCCGTGGTCATATGTACATATGTTACTAGATGTACTACCCGGCTTCGCCCGGGTCTAGGATCCATGACGCTAGACCGCCTTTGTCTCCCCAGTGGCGATGTTCATACGCCACAGCAGTTACTCGTTTTGAGGCTGAGTCGACCTAGGGGAGGTTCAAATAATCGTCGCCGGTGGTGGCCGTGGGCGGGAATGGAACTCGGTTCGCCGGGTTGGTAGCGCAGCGTAGCGTTAACCACTACACCCACCGCTCCTCACACACCACACACGCACAGACACACACACAGACACACACACAGACACACAGACACAGACACACAGACACACACACAGACACAGACAGCACGCTAACCACTACACTACCGTTCCCCCTACACAACACACGCGCGCGCGTCCATAGCTACACATACACGCGCTTGCTGCAGACACACACGACTTTCAGGGTGCGTACGCCAGTAAACAACTGAAATAATAAAGCGGCAATGCTGCGCGAGGAACGCCTTAGACCTGCAACACATTTGTGTAATGCGAGCGTAAAGACACAAACACATACAAACACATACACACACATACATGCAGACACACAGACACACACATAACACACATACATACACACATACATACACACAAACACATACACACACGTACATACACACATACATACAGACACACAGACATACACATAAACACATATACAAAAACACACATACATACACACACATACATACACACAAACACATACACACACATACATACACACAGACATACACATACACACAAACACACACATACATACACACAAAAACATAGACAATACACACACACATACATGCAGACACACAGACAGACACATAACACACATACATACACGCAGATACATACACAGAAACACATACACACAATACATAGACACACACATACATACACACAAACACATCCACAGACGTACATACACACATACATACAGACACGCAGACATACACATAAACACATAGAAAAAAACCCACATACATACACACACACATACATACACACAAACACACACACATGCATACAGACACACAGACATACACATAAACACATACACACATACACATGACCCGGCTTCGCCCGGGACTTGGATCCAGCACGCCCGGCCGCCTTTGTCTCCCCAGTGGCGATGTTAATACGCCACACCAGTTACTCGTTTTGAGTCCCTCCCTCGCCACTCTCCCTCCCTCGCCACTCTGCCTCCCTCACCACTCTGTAGAGGACGTGAAATTTGTATGAATTTACCTCAGAGTGGCGTGGTGGGTGTCGAGGCCTAGCACCGTGCAGAGCCTCCCGCCTCGCCTGATTTTCCCACCCGGCGAACGCTGGGTACGGGTGGCGTTCCTTCCCCCCGCCCCTAGCGCTCGAACAATACTGTGAAATGGCTATTATTTAATTATTTACGGAGCCTATGAAAGTGGCGAAGGCGTGGCTAGCCGTTGGCAGGGGCAACCGCCGTCCAATGAAAGTGCAGCCCTTGGCGAAGGCGTCGCTAGCCGTTGCCAGGTCCAATGAAAGCGGCGAAGGCGTCGCTAGCCGTAGGCAGGGGCAACCGGCGTCCAATGAAAGTGCGTATGGTCCGAAATCCACACACACACAGACAGACAGACATGCACGATTTTATATATATAGATGACATCACGTGGCTCACCAGCACAAGGATATTTACCGTATTTTCCCGCATATAGCCTGCATACGCATATAACCCGCACCTCCATATACCCCGCATGCATTCATGTCTTTAACGTCGTTACCGCAGCTTAATTCCATCATATTAATACGAAGTTTACATTTGTAATACATTCCACTATCAATTGTTAACATTAAAATCATAACGTGCACAAAGAAAACAAACTAACCGGAAACGAGTGAACTTTAAACAGTAAATAAGTCACAAAAGTAAATATCCAATAAATAAGTAACACGTAACTGGTAGATAAGTAAGTACAGTTTTAGCACTGGTAGCTTGCGCACTGCGCGGACAATAGCGGCACTACGGTAACGCCATCGCTTCGCCCCCACCTCTCTCTCCCCCCAGCTGCCCCACCCCCAACCCCCACCTCTCCCTCCCCCCAGCTGCCCCACCCCCAACCCCCACCTCTCCCTCCCCCAGCTGCCCCACCCCCCAACCCCCACCTCTCTCCCCCCAGCTGCCCCACCCCCCAACCCCCACCTCTCTCTCCCCCCAGCTGCCCCACCCCCCAACCCCCACCTCTCTCTCCCCCAGCTGCCCCACCCCCCAACCCCCACCTCTCTCTCCCCCAGCTGCCCCACCCCCCAACCCCCACCTCTCTCTCCCCCCAAGCTGCCCCACCCCCCAACCCCCACCTCTCTCTCCCCCAGCTGCCCCACCCCCCAACCCCCACCTCTCCCTCTCCCCAGCTGCCCCACCCCCCAACCCCCACCTCTCTCTCTCCCCAGCTGCCCCACCCCCCAACCCCACCTCTCCCTCTCCCCAGCTGCCCCACCCCCCAACCCCCACCTCTCCCTCTCCCCAGCTGCCCCACCCCCCAACCCCCACCTCTCCCTCTCCCCAGCTGCCCCACCCTCCAACCCCCACCTCTCTCTCCCCCCAGCTGCCCCACCCCCCAACCCCACCTCTCCCTCCCCCAGCTGCCCCACCCTCCAACCCCCACCTCTCTCTCCCCCCAGCTGCCCCACCCCCCAACCCCCACCTCTCTCTCCCCAGCTGCCCCACCCTCCAACCTCCACCTCTCTCTCCCCAGCTGCCCCACCCCCCAACCCCCACCTCTCTCTCCCCCCAGCTGCCCCACCCCCCAACCCCCCACCTCTCTCTCCCCCCAGCTGCCCCACCCCCCAACCCCCACCTCTCCCTCTCCCCAGCTGCCCCACCCTCCAACCCCCACCTCTCTCTCCCCCCAGCTGCCCCACCCCCCAACCCCCACCTCTCCCTCCCCCCAGCTGCCCCACCCCCAACCCCCACCTCTCTCTCCCCCCAGCTGCCCCACCCCCCAACCCCCACCTCTCCCTCCCCCCAGCTGCCCCACCCCCCAACCCCCACCTCTCCCTCCCCCCAGCTGCCCCACCCCCCAACCCCCACCTCTCCCCTCCCCCCAGCTGCCCCACCCCCAACCCCCACCTCTCTCTCCCCCCAGCTGCCCCACCCCCCAACCCCCACCTCTCCCTCCCCCCAGCTGCCCCACCCCCCAACCCCCACCTCTCTCTCCCCCCAGCTGCCCCACCCCCCAACCCCCACCTCTCTCCCCCCCAGCTGCCCCACCCCCCAACCCCCACCTCTCCCTCCCCCCAGCTGCCCCCACCCCCCAACCCCCACCTCTCTCTCCCCCAGCTGCCCCACCCCCCAACCCCCACCTCTCCCTCCCCCCAGCTGCCCCACCCCCAACCCCCACCCTCTCTCTCCCCCCAGCTGCCCCACCCCCCAACCCCCACCTCTCCCTCCCCCCAGCTGCCCCACCCCCCAACCCCCACCTCTCTCTCCCCCCAGCTGCCCCACCCCCAACCCCCACCTCTCTCTCCCCCCAGCTGCCCCACCCCCAACCCCCACCTCTCTCCCCCCAGCTGCCCCACCCCCCAACCCCCACCTCTCTCTCTCCCAGCTGCCCCACCCCCCAACCCCCACCTCTCTCTCCCCCCAGCTGCCCCACCCCCAACCCCCACCTCTCTCTCCCCCCAGCTGCCCCACCCCCAACCCCCACCTCTCCCTCCCCCAGCTGCCCCACCCCCCAACCCCCACCTCTCTCTCTCCCAGCTGCCCCACCCCCAACCCCCACCTCTCTCTCCCCCCAGCTGCCCCACCCCCCAACCCCCACCTCTCTCTCCCCCCAGCTGCCCCACCCCCCAACCCCCACCTCTCTCTCCCCCCAGCTGCCCCACCCCCCAACCCCCACCTCTCCCTCCCCCCAGCTGCCCCACCCCCCAACCCCCACCTCTCTCTCCCCAGCTGCCCCACCCCCCAACCCCCACCTCTCTCTCCCCCCAGCTGCCCCACCCCCAACCCCCACCTCTCTCCCCCCAGCTGCCCCACCCCCAACCCCCACCTCTCCCTCCCCCCAGCTGCCCCACCCCCAACCCCCACCTCTCTCTCCCCCCAGCTGCCCCACCCCCCAACCCCCACCTCTCTCTCCCCCCAGCTGCCCCACCCCCAACCCCCACCTCTCTCTCCCCCCAGCTGCCCCACCCCCCAACCCCCACCTCTCTCTCCCCCCAGCTGCCCCACCCCCCAACCCCCACCTCTCCCTCCCCCCAGCTGCCCCACCCCCCAACCCCCACCTCTCTCTCTCCCAGCTGCCCACCCCCCAACCCCCACCTCTCCCTCCCCCCAGCTGCCCCACCCCCCAACCCCCACCTCTCTCTCCCCCCAGCTGCCCCACCCCCCAACCCCCACCTCTCCCTCCCCCCAGCTCTCCCGTCGCCGGTAAACAGTGCGCACACTTCAAACATTGTCGTTTAATTGTACAAACAATTCATTTAAAACGTGATAACACGTGCAATTTTAGTGTGAGTGGTTTATTCAGCAGTGCTTTAGTCAAAGGTAAGTGTTGCATAGTGGATAGTCCTACCATGAAAAAAATAAACGAGTTATGACATCTTCTTGGTTCTTTCGGTAAAGTCACATAGAATGGAAATAATAAAAAGAATACATTATAAAATAATATAATAAGGAGTTATGACATGTCACACGTGTCAAATATGTTTGGGATAGCCCGCACCTCCATATACCCCGCAGGGTCTTGTTTTGTTTGTAAGAAGTGGTATACCCCGCGGGTTATACGCGGGGAAAATACGGTAATCTTATTATGTGGCCCTCCAGAAAATGGTGTTGAAGAAGCCTGGCATAGACAGTGCTTATGATGCAGATTAGCAAATAGCTATGCAGTTGAGCAATGCGTTGGCTCTTGGCCTTGTTACAATATTTGTGAGAGCCTAGAGTCTCAGTGGTAGGCAATTTGCGGCGCATTGACTGCTATACTATTTATTACGATATATCCCACTGCTCAATCAAGTCACTTTATTAACTCAATCAAACCATACTTATCCCGCTTTATCCCTTTTTCCCCGCATAAGTGTAAATAATAGCTCAGTTTAACACGTAGGCTTTCGCGACCAATATTATTCATAATAAATGTTTTTGGGTCAGATCGCGTTATTTATAAATGTGTCGTAACCCTCCACCACCCGACACGGCCAATCAGCAGAAAAAGTGTCACGTTGACAAAAGACAAATAGTTCACTGCTTTAGCCCACCGGTGTGTTGAAGCGTGAAACCACAACAGTTACATTTTTTGAGTAACACGACGTTTCGCTGGTAATTGCATCCAACAGCATCGGGCAATTCGCCAGAATACCTATTGTGAATACGTTTTTTACAATATTATATTTCTCACCATTGTTTTTATACATAGTGTTCTTTTTTATGCTTTTCTTACTTAGTTTGATTGACGTAGTATTCTATTGTGCTCTTTTTATGCCTACTTATTGCCTTTATTGAATACGTTTTTTTGTTCATTTGCATTTTTAGCCAATGAAAGTGACGCCATTACAGAGGTGACACCATCTACAAGCCTGCACAACCAAGGTGAGTGTCATGCATTTCAGGATAATGTCGACGTTCATTAAGGGTGTGCGTCAAATATTTGGCCGTGTGCTGTGTTTGTATTATTTGTTTATCTATTGTGTTACTTAAATTGTCCACAACGACACTGATTATTTCGTGGGCTTTTGGGGCAATGCGGGGGGAAGGACAGTGGTTAACGCACTGCACCATGAACCTTGCGACCTGAGTTCGATTCCTGACTATGTCTTTCTTTAGTGACATTGAGGGTGGGAAATCGGGACGCAAAGCAAGACGAGGGGTCATAAAACTTTAAAGAGTGAGGGATGTCGCACAGACAATGATTCTGGAAAGTACCGTCCATCTCCCGAACTGAGATGACTCAAAGAGCGTCTCTCAGTTATTCATTAGTAAATGACAAAGACGCAACTCTCCTGCCACCTCTACAACTCCCTGGCGCCCCCTAGAAGGTTACTTTATAAATTAGTTATTGGACCAGGGTGCCACTTTTGTTACGGCTGCCAGAGCCCTTCTCACCACCACCCCCTCTCCTCCTCTTTGTGTAACATTCAGAATCTGTATTTGAGATTGGAGGAGGAATCCGATGAGCTATGAAGCTCTTTTTCACGCGTGTCCAGTATGGGCGGGTCAGCAAGTTACAGCAGCAAACAATACGAAATAACATAGGAGTGTAAAATAAGTGAAAAAAAGGTAAGCAAGTCACTAAATATAAATAAAGTCGGTCAATGGTTTTTACCCTTTTATCTGGCAACAAAACTGACACCTTTTTTACAAGGAGTCATGTTTGCATTGACCACAATACCTGCGGTCGGAATGCAAACAAAAACACAACTCTGATAATTATTTTTAGTTTTCATTCCGACCGCAGGTATTGTGGTCAATGCAAACATGACTCCTTGTAAAAAAGGTGTCAGTTTTGTTGCCAGATAAAAGGGTAAAAAAACAATTATCATATTTTGCTACTGGCAAAGGAGGTTCCAATGGTATAAATTAAATAATTATATAAGTCCGATTGATCATGCTTGGGTAAGGCAGCAAAAACAACAAAAGAATCCCAGATCACACCAAGATATCACCACAAAGCGGTAGTCCCTCAATAAAAAAATGGCATGTTAACATTGCACTATCGATACACATTTTTCGATTTAAAGCTTTCATGACTGCAGGGATTCATATTCTTTGTTCTTTCGGTAAAGTCACGTAGAAGGGAAATTATAAAATAATAAAAATAAAACATAAGATAAAATTCTCACGACGTTTCGGCCACAATGCAAGCAGTCGTCCTCAGGTGAAGAACAGGGCTGTCGGAAAGACAGCGTCCCAATGTTTATTAGGATGCTGTCTTTCCGACAGCCCTGTTTATTAGAACGCTGTCTTTCCGACAGCTCTGTTCTTCACCTGAGGACGACCGCTTGTGTTGCGATCGAAACGTCGTGATCTATTTTATTTTCTACCTACGTGACTTTACCGAAAGAACCAAAGAGTATGGATTCCTGCAGTCACGAAAGCTTCAAATCAAGATTGGTCTCTAAAACTTTAATGACTAAGGGTAAAACCAAACAACAGACAGTGGCATATACTGAGGACATATCTTGGAGTTGTTGTGTCTACTGTGCAACAATTACGGGATCGGAGGCTACAAAGCATCGGTGAGTTGCGGCGGCATCGGCGGCTTTGCTGATGACGATACCGTGACCCGCTCTATCCCCTCCCATACGCCACCGCCATCCCCGCCAGACGTTCCCACGCGGCTCGTGGGCGGTGCAAGCCCATGCGAGGGCCGCGTGGAGCTGTCCGTGGCCGAGGGGCAGTGGGCCACGGTGTGCGACGACGTGTGGGACCTGGCGGACGCAAGGGTGGCTTGCCGCTCAGTGGGCTGCGGCCCAGCGCTCGCCGCGCCGGGCTCGGCGGTCTTTGGCCGCGGTCGGGGACCCATCGCTCTCGACAACGTGGAGTGCGTCGGCACGGAGGCGAACCTGGGCCACTGCGCGCATGCCGGCTGGGGCGTACACAACTGCGGGCACGGCGAGGACGCGGGAGCCGTTTGCGCAGGCACGTCTCCGACACGCAAGGATTTCGATTAGTCGAGATAAGAACCATTTAAATATAGTAGTAGGTTTTTACCCTTTTAAACTGGTACAAAACTGACACCTTTATTAAAGGCATCATGTTTGCAATAACCACAACACAAGTAGTCGAAACAGCAAACAAAAAGAAGCAACTCTGATAATGATAATACTTGCGTTGTGGTTATTGCAAACATGATGCCTTGAATAAAGGTGTCAGTTTTGTACCAGTTTAAAAGGGTAAAAACCTACTACTATATTTTGCCACTGGTAAAAGAGATCTCATAGTGTAAATGCTTACACCGAGCTCTCAATACTCGGATATTGCACTGTCTTTGAGTTGTACGCCTTCTGGTGTCATCTGGTCCAACACCAATGGGGACTAGGCTCTAAAGAAAGCCGTCTCGGGTGTGGACCAATCAACTTCAAGGACAGTGCATATCATTATCATTATCAGAGTTGCTTCTTTTTGTTTGCTGTTTTGACTACTTGTGTTGTGGTTATTGCAAACATGATGCCTTGTATAAAGGTGTCAGTTTTGTACCAGTTTAAAAGGGTAAAAACCTACTACTATATTTTGCCACTGGTAAAAGAGATCTCATAGTGTAAATACCATTTGAATATTGTGTTGTGCCCTCCTATACTGTGTTTTTCTGGGTTCTCTGGTTTTCTCTTGGATACCAAACACGCATTACCCTTTGCCGTAGATGAGTTTTTCATCCGATTCCATTCCAATGACGTACGTGTACATCATCAAAGCAAAACCGGAGGAAATACTAAAAAAAGTAACTTCATCAGTACCGAGGCTACCACAAGGCCATGCGGGAGGGCGTGTGGCACAGTTTGGCACCAGCTATCATAGAGCGCAGTCGTGTCGCTACATTGTTCTGCGGTGAGTACAATGTCTTTAAAAACAATGGTGCTATGCCTGTCTAAATAAAATTAACGATGAGCTGCTTGCGCGTTCCAATATTCAGAGGTAAACGGGACCCACCCTGCAATTTCCAGACATCTCGGAATAGGAAAGAGTGAATGGAATTGATCAAACATCTCAATGCAGATCCGTCCTTAAAAAGTCTGAAGACTCAATTGGACTGTCTTGGATAAAGCGAATTATTAAAATGTAAATACATGTGCTTGCTCGCCGCCAAAATATTAATTGTCGACTTTTTGTTTTTGGAATCGTCCCCCAGATTTATATTTTGCTATTGGCAGCGTGCAATTGTGTGGAATATCTGTTCAGATCTCTCGCCTGAGCTTTGCATACCTTTGTGTAACAGAATGGCCCTAGGAAGTGGATATCACAGAGATACCACTGAGCTCCATTTGAGTGACCTCTGGATCACACGATAGAGGACATCACTTTCCATATGTCCTGTCAAGGAGAGTATTATTCATAACGTGATTTCCTAAACAAATTTCTATTTCAAAACTTTAATTTAGCCGAACGAGGGATGTGACGAAATTTAACGTGATGGTTTTTGCATTTATTAACGAGGCCGAGACCATCACCTCCCCAATATTTGAGAATTTGGTTGAATCACAAATAGCTATCTGAATATGAACTCAGGATGTCAGCGTTCTCAGCCCAGCTGTCAGATGTCTGAGTGGGCTGGGCACCTCTAGAGACTTAAAAATAATACAAACCAACTAATACATCATTGCGAATTATCCCGACTTCATAAACCCAACGGCAGAAAAAGTATGAGAATAAAATGAAACGCAATTTCACGTGCAGGCAAGACTATAAATAAATAAATGAAACAGTGGAATACCATGGTTATTTCAAAACAATGTTAAGAAAACTGGTAGAAAATGTGAAGAAGTATTGTAATGAGAATATTGTTAGATTCAACTGTTGGGAAAGATATGTGTGTATGTTGTACTTCTTTTGCACCGTACGTAGCCAACCGTGCTAATCGAAGGTGCGGGTGGAAGGACAACAAACTAAAAACAAAAATCAGTTCTAATAATAGTTTTCCATTGAGATTTAAAAGTGCATAGTTCTAGTGACTTACTAATATCAGAAGGAAAAACGTTCCAGACGGCCACAGAAGCACATCTGCAAGTGTGGGATGCAGTGACCGTCTTTGTTCGATGGTTAGCCAAAAGCCACTGTGAGGATGACTGTCGTTTGAGTGATGGTTTATGCTCCTTGAGATCAGCAAGGTATTGTGGTTAATTTGTGGCAAGCACTTTGTGTTGGAATGAGTGTGACCTTATCATGTATTAATGCAGCAACCGGAAGCCAATGCGGCTCAGCGAGCACCGGACGGACGTGGTCGGATCTTGCAAAAATTCAGACTCGATTCATATGTATACAAATCCAGAGTCAGGAAATACAGTGGACAAAACAACGTCCAATTTTAGTGTCATAAAAAGCGGTAAAAAATTATGCTGAATGTGTAGCAGAGTGGCAAATGAAATTTATTCGCCTGTGAAAAAAAAACTGATACCACAATTATGACAAATAGTGTGAAAGATATTCCTGATTTGGACTTATGGAGCATCTAATCGTGACCGCATTGCAAGGTGATGTACAACTAAAATACTGATGTCAAAATCTCATCCAGAAAGCCCACACAGCATGTTGGACTAATACGTATTCGTTGTGAAAGTGAGCAAAACATGCCCAGCACTTGAGTTGATTTTCAACAAATCTACTGTTGTAAATCCAATGCTGAGAACAAGTCACTCGTAAACTAGGCTGGCACACTTGCGATAGTCCACACAAACGCAGCAAGAGACAACACTGGACGTCGTTGATGACTGAGATGGGCCGTGAGCCGAAATTGCAGTGAACCGTGTGATTTAGTTTCTATAGCAAGTGCTGTTGCAAGCAAGTGCATCTTTTTTTTTACAAAACTTAAGCAATTGTGTTCCTCCTTTGCAGAGCCGGGGAGCGATACGACTTACGCGAGCCCTCTGGAGTTGTCCAGCGCAGGGACGGCGCGATTCTCCTGGATGGACACCCCTTGTGAGTGGCCGCACGTCAGAGCTCTAAAATTCGATGTTAGGGAGGCGGCCGGGTGGCTGGGGCGTTAGGGGCACTGCTGAGAGCCTGGGTTTGAATCCAGGCAAGCGCCTGTGATTTGTCCGGCTTCTCACGTCGAGTAAGATGGTGTTCATCTGGACACCAACAACCGCGCAAAAAAAAAATCGTCTAAATAAAACTATTTTTTATATTCCCAGGTAAGGTCCACTGGTCTATAACACTGGTCAACACACTTTTTCTGGCATAAGGTATTCCAACGGTTTTAAGGTAATTTTGGGGTGCTGATTCCAAATCTGGCATCAGTTTTTGTCTATCACATCAGGTTTTTGAGATATAAAATATTGCATTTTCAATAAAAACTGCAGAAGAAAAATATTAAATAAATGTGGATATCTACATAAAATGATATTATAAACACACTATCCTAAAAATACAGCACCATACTTTAACACTAAAGCAGTCACTGACTCGCAACAACTTGCAATCATAAGTGACAGAGTTAAATTCGGGTAAAATCAATGAAAATGGGGTATGCCGATAGCATACAAATGAGATGTGATAGAGCAAATCAAATTTGGAATCAGAACCCTGAAATTAGTCTAAAACAGCTGCAAAAATCCAGGCCAGAAAAAAATGATTTTTTTTGTTGACCAGTGTAATAGCTCTTTTTCAGAACCGAGCTGGTCACACATGATAGCTCTAGCAAAGTGGCTTATCATGTGGAAATGTAAAGCAGCCAAATACTCTGAAACACCTGTTGATTCTAAATGGAGGGGAAAACGGGAGGACCCGGAGAAAAATCCACGCGATCATGGGACGAAAGACGTGCCAACTCCAATTATACACAAGTGTCGTGACTGACTTGGAGATGTAACTTCTTGGAGGCAATTCTTTCATTTAACACCGAGCACACTTTGTAAACTTTATACAATACACACCCCACACCGTTACACACTCTCTGTCTCTCACTTATACGCAACTCTACACTGGTTGCTAGCCTACACACAACGCTAGCCGTCTGGCACTGAAGGCGCTGAACCGAGACAGCCAACTACGTCTAGCAGCGCAATGTCAAGTGACGACGACAGCGACGAAGGCGGCGAGACGACCGCGACGATGGTGACGCAGCAACGACGATGACAGGGATCCCACTCCAAACGACAGCCCCGAGCTCCCGCTCGGGGTCCCCTTTTATCCTGTTAGCGTGGCCTCGCTCCGCCCCAGCCACGCCCCCCTTCTAGAACCTACGAACAGGCTCTCGACGTGTGCCTTCCGTAACCTTTACCCCAGATCCCTCTCGGGTCTATCACGTGGCCTGCTGCTGTCAGGGCTGCTACAAGCTGCAGATCCCCTACCCTGCCAGCAGCCAGCGCTATGCTACTTAGTGACCAATTCCAGGTCACTACACAAGTGTCAGGGTTGGGGTCGAACCCACAATCTCCAGCGAGGTAGTTAACATCTCACCACCGTAGCGCATGTAACAGCTCATCTCCCACCTTCCCACTGATTGGAAAAAAAAGTATTACGTTTCAGGGTTGCAATTCCACATTGAATTTGATATTCAGGAAGTGTGTTCCTTTTGTCTTGCTTGTTTCATCGAAAAAGTGTGTCCTGTTTGTGCATTCTCACGTGTACTGTTCATGTTATCTCATTTGTATCTTCTCACTTGTCAGTACTGTGCGTCTCATTTTCTGTAGATTGTCTAGAGTTTCCTGTTGTCACTACTCACCCAAATGTTTCGCCTAACTGTTACCCTCTCTTGAGCGACTCTTTGTCTCATGTGTTCTGTTTCATTCATTTCAACCATTCACCTACAGGAATCGCTCGTGTAAATTTTTCATGAATCAAAATAATCGTGCCCAATTCGATGCATGTATAATGAACAAGCATAATAATTAGATTGTTGCATCGTTGCGTGTCTATTATCGTATTTTCCCGCATATAACCCGCAGACGCATATACCCCGCAAAAATACCGGTTTGTGTAAAAAAAAAAATCAGACAGCCCGCCACCTCCATATACCCTGCATGCATTTGTAATAGGTTCAATTTAGGCGCACACACTTCTTGGGAGGCAACACTCATTTATTAATAAACACAACTCTACACATAGGGTGGTGACCACCGACCTACACTAGCTAACACACAATTGTATTTTAGCCGCTCCAGCGTGACCCAGCCAGGTGGTTGCTGGCAGTCCGCTCACTGTAGGTCTTCTCCTCTGGCATCTTCACGAGGTGTCTTCATTCTTCTCAGGAACAGCCCTGCTCTGCCTTCACACCACGCTTATATCTCGTCTCTCTGGCGTGGCCGGCTCCGCCCAGGCCACGCCTCCCTTCCCAGGCCACGCCTCCCTTCCCAGGCCACGCCTCACTTCCCCCACCTCTGGGAAGGTCCGGATCCCTCCAGCACGTGACCCCCCAGGCACCCCCTTGGGGCCCCCAGCCCTCGTACGGGCCAACACAGCAGTGACCGCTCTGTCACTACATCACCCCCCCCTGTATAAACACACAGCCGTCCCCGGCTGTAACACAACTGTGAACATCGAAAAGGTGTGCCTCCGAACCAGCAACATCAATAAATGACCGGCGACCGATAAGAAATACAATCACGTAATATATACAGAATCGACGAGGGTAAAAGGGAACCGCATAGAAAACGGGGAATTAACAACAAATATACATGAAAACCGGCTAACCCACTTACGCTCCATCACAGCCCCCCCACCGTTAGAATCACGCATGCAATGACAGTCACCCGTTAGCACCCCCCCGCCTTTCCGACGTGGCGTCACAACCAGTAGCACGCGTCGGCCATATCGGGGGGGGAATTTCCATGTTACCACCCCACCGCCTTTCCGACGCGGCGTCACAACCAGTAGCACACGTCGGCCATATCGGTGGGATTTTAACCCAGTCTCTCTCCAAGACTCGCATCGCAGCATATAGCTGTACCGACCGAGCTGAGACGACCCAGTCTCTCTCCCAGACTCGCATCGCAGCATATAGCTGTACCGACCGAGCTGAGACGACCCATCGTTCACTCACTGCACAACATGCACCCTAACAACTGAGGGAAACAGTCTCAAAGTAACAGGCCAACTCCACCCGAGCCTTACGAATCTCCAGCCCACTGTTTCAACGCGCCTCAGAGGGTCTCAACCTCCGAGCCGTCAGGTCAAGCCGTCAGCCATAGCATGACGGGACCACCCTCCCTGAGCCATGTGAGCGCACAGCCCACAAGGCTAGACAAGCCACAGAGTGTCTCCATCTCTGGGCTGTCAGGTCAAGCCGTCAGCCATTGCATGACGGGACCACACTCTCCGAGCCATGTGAGCACACAGCCCACTAGGCTAGACATACCACGGAGTGTTTCAATCTCCGGGCTGTCAGGTCAAGCCGTCAACCATTGCATGACGGGACCACACACTCCGAGCCATGTGAGCACACAGCCCACTAGGCTAGACATACCACGGAGTGTTTCAATCTCCGGGCTGTCAGGTCAAGCCGTCAACCATTGCATGACGGGACCACCCTCCCTGAGCCATGTGAGCGCACAGCCCACAAGGCTAGACAAGCCACAGAGTGTCTCCATCTCTGGGCTGTCAGGTCAAGCCGTCAGCCATTGCATGACGGGACCACCCTCCCTGAGCCATGTGAGCACACAGCCCACTAGGCTAGACATACCACGGAGTGTTTCAATCTCCGGGCTGTCAGGTCAAGCCGTCAGCCATTGCATGACGGGACCACACTCTCCGAGCCCTGTGAGCGCACAGCCCACTAGGCTAGACATACCACGAAGTGTTTTAATCTCCGGGCTGTCAGGTCAAGCCGTCAGCCATTGCATGACGGGACCACAACATTCATGTTAGACACGCAACACTCACTGGGCCATCCTGGTCAGGATCTGCGCCCCAAGATAAGTGACAGCCAGCACCACAATTCCAAATCCCTGGCAGCATGTCACCATCGCAATTTAACACCATCACAACACATACAATTTGAATTATGATCCCCCACAGAACTGATCCAATGCCGAACAGGTATGCACAATTTGTGACGATCCCGAATATTCAATGGTCACAACAATACACCTCACATCCCGTATCCGTACACATCATCTCCGAGACTCGCATTGCAGCAATGCAGCTGTACCAACCGAGTGGAGAGAGCAACGCAATTTGACAGCAATTAACGGAAACGCACCCCCGATCCATGTAGAACACAAGGAGCATTCCCGCACAAAAGACATCATCTGTGCAACAACGGACAGGAACCAACCAGTGAGTTTGAAACAAACCGAACCTGTAATTTCAAAATCCCCTTCAACATTAACCATGGGACTCAGGGCATTCGAATTAAAAAAACTATACACAAACGCCAAGAATCGCCGAATTGATTAATACAGTATATGCAGTATACGAAGTTCGTACAGTCAATCATTTGGCGCAATGTTCCATCCAGTCCCCACATGGCAACACACACAATCAATACTCCAGACAATCCGTACATAGTAAATAATCACCAGCAAGTACCCAACAGTCCATACACTGTTAACAATTTCAAGCAAAGCTCCATACGGTCTGTACATTGGCAACAATGATGATCAAAGTTTCTGACAGTTACAAGTGACAATCACGAGCGAAACTCCATACAGTATACACAATAACAATGGCGATTTCGCAACACAACGATGTAACAACACGAGTCATTAACACGGCAACATACAGGATATCCACGGAACTCGGGACACCAACAACGAATTAATCATTAACTACACGCAGAAGATACCGATCTCGACGCCGTAATTAACAACAAACACTGGTCGCCGCGTCAATTTCTCACGCACACAACCGGACGAACACGTTCCGCAACCCAGCGAGTAAAAAAAAACCACCCGCGATCGCAACCCGGCACACGCAAGATGGGTGAAGTTATTATTATTATTTTTATTGGGGCCGGGTGCTTGTCAAGTCACAACTCGCCTGGCAAACTGTGTATAGCGGAGGGCGGCAAGGTGGAGCACTGGAACGGCCCGAAGAATCTTTGATGGTGAACACGGCCTGCTGTTGCGAACCCATCCACCTCTCACGCTCGAGCAGAAGGCTGGAACTCCCCCTCTGCAGGCGTTGATGTCGGCGGGAGCAGCATTTCGGCAGCAGGAGCGGTGTTTTGGCGGGAACAGCGCCCCGACCAGCCGCCGAAATGGCGGGAACGGCGTTTTGGCGGGAACAGCGCCCCGACCAGCCGCCGAAATGGCGGGAACGGCGTTTTTGGCGGGAACCGCGCCCCGACCAGCCGCCGAAATGGCGGGCCCACCGCGTGGCCCGCATGCCCGGGCCTCCCCCGCCAGCCACCGCAGCGACGATGGTGTCCTCTCGCCGCGGCTCCGTCGCTCCGTTCCCGATGGCGGCGAAGCAGCAGTGCGATGCAAGTCCCGCCGCTCCGCGTGCAGCGCCATCTCTCTCTCTCTCTGTCACCGGGGCTGCCATCCCCGGGGCTGTCCGAAGGATGGTCGTCACACCATCCCCGTCGTACGAAGACGTCCAGATGAGTTTTATATTTGTTTTTCGTGTGCCCATTTTACTTCCCTAGGATAACACCTAGCAATATTTATTTTTCCACAACTTCTGACACCAAATGTAATGGGTTCAATTTAGGCGCACACACTTCTTGGGAGGCAACACTCATTTATTAATAAACACAACTCTACACATAGGGTGGTGACCACCGACCTACACTAGCTAACACACAATTGTATTTTAGCCGCTCCAGCGTGACCCAGCCAGGTGGTTGCTGGCAGTCCGCTCACTGTAGGTCTTCTCCTCTGGCATCTTCACGAGGTGTCTTCATTCTTCTCAGGAACAGCCCTGCTCTGCCTTCACACCACGCTTATATCTCGTCTCTCTGGCGTGGCCGGCTCCGCCCAGGCCACGCCTCCCTTCCCAGGCCACGCCTCCCTTCCCAGGCCACGCCTCACTTCCCCCACCTCTGGGAAGGTCCGGATCCCTCCAGCACGTGACCCCCCAGGCACCCCCTTGGGGCCCCCAGCCCTCGTACGGGCCAACACAGCAGTGACCGCTCTGTCACTACACATTCATATATTTAACGTCGTTACCGCAGCTTAATTCCATCATATTAATACGGAGTTTACATTTGTAATACAGCACACTAACAATTGTTAACATTAAAATCATAACGTGCACAAATAAAACAAACTAACCGGACACGAGTGAACTTAAAACAGTAAATAAGTAACAAAAGTAAATAACCAATAAATAAGTAACACGTAACTGGTAGAGAAGTAAGTACATGGAAACATTAAACGAGTGTAAAATATTGTTTGGGATAGCCCGCACCTCCATATACCCCGCAGGGTCTTGTTTTGTTTGTAATGAGTATAACCCGTAAAAACAAAGTTTTTCACTATAAATCCTTTATATGCGTGGCGGCTAGAGTCCTCTTGTCCTCTGGATTGAGATGGCTGCCACCTATGGGTCAGATGATTGTCTGCCAGTATTAAGCAATTGGTAATTTAATATTTAATTTGTTTTCCTTAAACAGTGTACAATTTTGGAAAAAAATTTTCACGAACATTAATTATCTCGCGCAACGAGTCTGTGTGCAAAATGTCAGCTCGACTGGATCACGGGAAGTGGGTTAAAAAACGACCGAAAGATTTGCACGGTCGTAAGCAAGCAAGCAAGCACGCAAGCACGCAAGCAAGCAAGCAAACTTAATATAAAGGATTTAAAAAGTGGTCTATACCGCGTGTTATATGCGGGAAAATACGGCAATTTAAAAGCCACGGAACGATGCCTATTATATCGTCCTTCCCCAGCACCTCCGATTAGCATGGTTGGTTTTGTACAGTGCGAAAGAAGTTCAGCATACAGGCCTACATAATTATCAAAAAATACTTTTCAGAAGAAAATTACCATCACTAATATTGCTTTAATACGTATAATCGCAATCCAAATGCCACCTCTCTGTGCCAACTCCGTTGTCCCCACAGCCTCCCTTCTGCCCCCCATGCGACTTGTGGGAGAGATGGAACCCTCGCCCCACAACTCTACCCGCCTACCACCGCTGCCACCGATATCGTCCTCCACCAACGTCCGTCGCTGCCAAGGCCGCATCGAGCTCTTCCTCATGGGCACCTGGGGCACCGTGTGCGACGACGCGTGGGACCTGACAGCCGCCACTGTGGCCTGTGCCGCACTGGGCTGTGGGGCGGCCATTGCTGCCCCCGGTTTGGCCGCCTTTGGCCCGGGACGTGGCCCCATTTGGCTCGACAACGTCAAGTGCGAGGGACACGAGGCGTCGCTTGTGCAGTGCTCGCACATTGGCGCCTACGCGCACAACTGCGACCACACGGAGGACGCTGGCGTGGTGTGCGCAGGGCCTGGCTAAACGGCCATCCCAGTCATGGGATTTCAACAGCAAAACTTTACAATGATAATAAACCTCTTGATCAATGAGTCTGTGATCAGATGGCTCGGTGTGTAAATGGCCACGTTAGTGGTATTTCCGAACACTGGTGTATTTATGTAAAGCGCTGAGCAGGTAATTGAGAGATTGGGTTTCAAACCCAAGTGATGAGTGTCTTGGTGGATTTATGCCTATGCCGGAGAACCAAATGACTAATTACGAGGAGATGGTTTAAAGTTATAGGGCTTGGTGTGTCTCATAGGATTATTACATATTCTTTTCGTGGTCTGATGTCCACGTCAGACCACAGGGTAAAACTTGAGATCCTGGGATCAAGCGCCAGGTTAGGGGGCTGAAGCCAAGCTGAAGTCATGAATGAAATGAAAAATTATGTTTGAGTCCTGGGCTTCAACCTCAGACCTCGTTGCATAGTAATTATAATAGTTTCAACCAAGTTACCACGAACCGCACAACAAAAAAGAAATTAATCACGTAATTATTCTTTTTTTTTCTACTGAAATTGGCCTTAAACTGAAGGATAAAAAAAATATAATACTGCATCAAATTGGGGATGCTGCCATGTTGTAATAATCAGCACGCTGGACTTCAGAAGTTACCGGTTCAATTTCCCAGCACTGCAGTTAAAACAAAGAGAAAGGTCCGCACAAATGTAACACATTCCTGCAGAGGGAGCTGGTAGGAACGTTGGGTTGCTCGGTCAATGGCCAGGGTCAACGGCGGCGTGGTGTATTCCGCAAATATGCCCGACTGTGAGGGCGGGCACAAGCTGGCGTGAGTAGGCTAAACGTTGAGTTTTATAAGGGCACCACGGGGTGAACAGCCCCTCCCCACCTAGCCCCACCCAGCCCTTCTCCACCCTCCCCACCCAGCCCCTCCCCACCTAGCCCCTCCCCACCCTCCCCTCCCCACCCAACCCCTCCTCACCCAGCCCCTCCCTGCACAACGGACGGACGGATACAATAATCCCCTGTCGGCTGGTGTGACCAGGAGGTTCCTACCAGTATAATGCAATTGTTTGACTGCCATGTTCTGGCCATCTCTCAGTCCAGCAGATTTGGGGGTGGCATTTCCACCAACTCTTGCATCCAAAGTGTTGGATCATGGATGGGCGTGTGGTACCGCGCAGGTCTGACATCACGTGATGCATTGGTGACTGACTTACTTGAATTATCCCTGTTTTTTCCAGCAGAATCTGTAACTTTATCACAATTTTGTTTCACGTTCAAGATCAAGAGGCCATCACCATCAATGCCATGGATGTCTACACACTTCACCATTGCTTCCTTTGTTTTTCAACACTCGCCCCCCCCCCCATTAATTTGCATTCAACCTCCCACGTCCACGCTACAACATCCTCACTGCGTGGCTTTAGATCGGGGGTGGAGAACTTACGGTGCATGGACCGCACAATTTTATTTTTTTCCCGACTCGTGGCTACATGATGATTCACACTTCGAAACGGTCAGCAAAAGATATTCATCAATCACAAACATCTCAGTCACACTCATCGGGTACAAAGGTATAGGATAAATTTTCGAACCGCAACTCGCGTTATCAATGGCAGCTTGTATTGTTCGTGAAACCTCCATTTAAACGCGGCCCTATTTCTTCCTTTTATCCGTGATTTTTCCCATAATGCATAATGCTTCCTGATACTGCCATTTTTTTACAGATAACAGTTGCATGGCACATTATTCCTGATACCCGTGGTTATCCGCGATGTTTTTTTCGTAACTTTTTTATGACCACGATCAAAGTAAGTGCACGGGCTGAACTTGCTATGAGCACGAGACGAGACAGACAGACCGCAGACATGATTATACTCAGAGACATGGAACCGGAAAAAGAGACAAACATATGTTTATTCTAGATTTGAAGCTTTCGTGACTGCAAGGATTCATACTCTTAGGTTTTTTCGGTAAAGTCACGTAGGTAAAAAATACAATTAAAAGTTAATAATGGAAATAAAATAAAATAATAAATCACGACATTTCGGAGGCAACACAAGTCTCCGTCATCAGGTGGGACCGTCACAGCTAAATTTACTGTATCAAGTGAGTAATTTTACCTGTGACGGTCCCACCTGATGACGGAGACTTGTGTTGCCTCCGAAATGTCGTGATTTTATTTTTTTATATTTTTTCCATTATTAACTTTTAATTGTATTTTTTACCTTCGTGACTTTACCGAAAAAACCTAAGAGTGAACAAAAAATATACGCAGATATACAGATACAGACATGGAGAGAGAAAGGGACACACAAAGATACACTCAGAGAAATTGAGACATACACAGGGAAAAGCGGAGGCAGGCTTCAGCAGGACAAGTCACTAACCACTAACAGCACACGGGTTGAGGAACATGTGTAACTCATGTGCTAACGACCCCCACTGCGCTTTAAAACGTCCCTTACACACGATTTCATGGCTATCAAGAGTCGCGGCAAATTAATCATTACCTCGGGGTTATCCATGGGTAATGGACGTTAAGTCATTACCCATATCCACGATTTTTTTGCGGATTAAGAGGAGTCACATGGCAAGTTCACCCCATAATCTGAGGGTTATTAGCAACATTCTATCCCACAAATAAGAGGAAAATCATGGATAATAGGATTCGTGATATTGGTCCCTTTATAATTTCGGGTAAAGACTTATTTGTGCTGATTTCGATCTGGCAACACTGTTTCTCATCTTAGCGTGCTCAGTCACTTCTGTGACCGGAAGGGCCGTTTGCGGTGACAGAAGTGAGGATTTGCATTAATGCGTGGCCCGCCAAAGGTAGCCACCGGAGCCATGCACTTGTGAGTGCAAATTGAAAACGAATTTCCTCATAACTCTACTAATAGGGGTTTTCCCCTTTTTTCTGGCAACAAAACTGACACCCTTTGCAAGGAATCATGTTTACATTAACCACAATACTTGCAGTCAAATGCAAACAAAAAACAATACTCTGGTTATTTATGCATTGTCTTTGAAACGGATTGGTCCACACCAGAGACAGCTTTCTTTGGAGCCTCGTCTCATATGGTGTTCGACCAGATGACGCCAAAAGGCTCCTTTTTGTGTATCGTTTGCTGTCCTTCCCCCGCACCTCCAAATAGCATGCTTGGCTACTTACGAATCAGTTTAACATACATATGTAGCGATGCACTCGGAGACACTCGTATTAGGAGGCATTTTGTTTATTAACAGCCTTCAAAGGTTACAAGGGTTAACTACAACTCTCAGCTGGCAGACTGCCTGACTGACGATGCCGAGAAGGTGAAGACGGTGACGAAGACTCCAGCAGCCCAACGGGATCCCACTCCAAGCAACAGCCCTGAGCCTTCCCTCGGGGTCCCCTTTTATACTCCTAGCGCGGCCTCGCTCCACCTCGGCCACGCCCCCTTTCTAGAACCTACTAGCGGGTTCCTGGGCTCACCTCACGTGCCCCCTCTGTCACCTTTGCCCTACATCCCTCTCTCTGGCTTATCACGTGACCTGCTGACAGACAAGGGCAGCTACAACTGCAGATGCCCTTCTCTGCCAGCAACCCACGCTATGCTACGTAGTGACCCATTCCATGTCACTGCACGTACATACCAAGGTATTTGAAAGTCCAATTCGACCCTCGTTCAAGAATATGTTGCCCACGCGTATAACATGTAAATAAAATCTACCTTATTTTATTAAAGAACCGACTGAATAATAGCTATAATTTGCATACCTATATCACAAACTGGTTTTAAAACCTGATACATAATAAATGCAAAAGTATATTTGCTAAAATAGGAAAATTGTGAACGTAAAAAAACTTACAGTGACAATTTTTTATATATTTAAACTCTATATTTTTATCCAGAGCCCACTCTAGAGTATTGTATATGAGCGTGTTTAGATGGACACAAATCTTAAATAATCATTCACAGATAACAGCCAGTCTTTAAGTTGAGCAAGTACATATTTATAATTACCTATGTATTACTTGTTGATTTTTCTAAAATTGGATGTAAATATTTTTTTAAAGTAAAAACCCTGCCAAGGCTGCACTGCTAAATGATGTGGTTCAGGTCGAGTTGTGTTCGACCTTAACAAATAATCGATTGGTGCTCCAGTTACCACCTGTCCTGGTTTTCCCAGGATTGTCCTTTTTTCGAGGTAGCTGTCCCGAGAAATTTGTCAGTCTCTCCAGGAAATTAAAAAGGTCTGGTGTTTGCCAGTTGTGTGATAATTCACCACCTCCTATTAGTACGGTTGGATACGTACGGTGCGAAATAAGTTATATTTTTGTGCTGCGAGATATCCCTAAGTCAACGATGTGCCCTGGATGCTTTTTTGTATTATATCTCAGAGGTGACAACCCTGTTTGGGGCTCATCTCTTTTCAAGAGTCTCAACGCCATTGGTGGAAAGTACACATTCCCAGTGTGTAGACTGGGTCCAACCACAGGTAAGGCATATCAGTGGCACTCTTTGATATTGGAGTTGGCCACTAACCAGAAGGAGTCTCGTTTAACAGACGCCACGGTGGCGAGATGTTAACTACCTCGCCTTGTATACAAGAGGTCGGTGGGTTCGATCCTGACCCGGATGCCTGCTGTATATTTGGAGTTTGCGTGTTCTCCCCGTGATCGCGTGGGTTTTTCTCCAGGTCCTCTGGCGTTTCCCTCCACATTTAGAAACATGCGTTTAGAGTATTATTTCTTGAATTGTATGAATAGGTGTTGCCTCTGCTCCTAAACACTATCTTACTTGATAATTGTTTTTTTTACCCTTCTATCTGGCAACAAAACTGACACCTTTTTACAAGGAGTCATGTTTGCATAGACCGCAACATAACTCTATGCAAACATGACTCCTTGTAAAAATATGTCAGTTTTGTTGCCAGATAGAAGGGTAAAAAAAACAATTATCATATTTTTACTGGCAAATGAGGTTCCCATAGTGTAGACTATCTTACTTGTTCATTTCTTCTTTTTCTGTAGTTTGTTGTAGACACCTGTGATTTGCCTCAAGCAGCTCATCTCTGCAGACCCCCCCCC